AGCTTGCCACTGCACCCCAAACAAAAAGAAAAGGGCAATCCAAGTTCCCTAACCTCATCCTAAACCCTAAACCCTAAACCCTAAACCCTTCAACCCTAAACCCTAAACCCTAAACCCCTCGCGGCCGCTGCCAGGACTCTTCAGGCCATCAAGCCCGACGCGCCAGCGATCCTCCTGTCGCCGCTGCTGAAGGTCCAGGACGGCAAGCACCCCACCAAAGCCCGGTTTAGGGTTAGGGGTTAGGGTTTAGGGTTTAGGGTTTAGGGTTTAGGGTTTAGGGTTCCACAGCGTTGACCCTAAAACAGCTGGACCAAGGAACTGAAAATGCGAAAACCCACATGTTTCTCCATTTAGCTACTAGGAATAGGGTAGCCCTATAAACCCTGTACCCTAAGCCCTAAACCCTAAACCCTAAACCCTCAGTAGATGTTTAAGGTCCCGGTTGGGTTGTTGGGGTTTCATTGTAGGGTCCTGAAGGTCAACGGGTTTCAACTCACCGTCCTTCTGTCCAGGCATGCCAGCTGCCCCAAAAGCTAATGAAGAAATCCTCAGCCCGTAAAAGTGAACCGAATCCCGCGCCAAAAAGGGAGCGAAAACAACACCCCTATAAACCCTTATAAAGCCAGCAGTCCCTCCCTCCGACTGGTGGCAGCGATACTGCGAGACATCTTACATACTGACAGAATTCATATGGAGCTGCATTGGGCGATGTCTTGCAGGAAGACCTTGGCAAAACTAGAGCGAATGACCTTAGCTACTGAAACAGTTGACAAGAATGAAATGAACAACATGCATGGACATGAAACGAAGGTAGTGAATGAAATGAGTGGAATGAACTGAAGCGAAGCTCAGCGAAGTAAAGAGAAGTGAAGTGAAGTGAACAAAATGAGTGAATGATCCGCCTTTCAGCTTTGATTGACACCCAAAGTGCTATTGTCTTCAGCCTAAACTAAACCCCCTAAACCCCCCAAACCCCCCCCCATAAACCCCCTAAAACCCCCTAAAACCCCTAAACCCCCTAACCCCCTAAACCCCCTAAACCCCCCCCTAAAACCGCCCTAAACCCCCTAAACCCTAAACATAAACCCCCCCCCCCCCCCCCCCCCCCCCCCCATAGGTACATGTCTTCACGCGCAGGAGTGGTCTGAGAGAGCAGCCAAGGCTCCTTGCATAAAGGGAGGCAGGGCTCCTGTACCCCTAGTAATCCTGGGTAGGATAAGGGGGACCGTCAAAAGGGAACCCCTTCTTTACCCTCTTCTGGCTCTCTTAAACAGAGACCTTATTCAGAGGGTCTATATCCCCAAGAGTCCCCCTAATCCTATCCTCTACTTAGTGTGCGCCCTTGCTTTCTCTGTCTGTCTCTCTCTCCCTCTCTCTCTCTCTCTTTCTCTTTCTCTTTTTGATTTATTGTTTTCGTTGTGGTGGTCTAAGGGGCAGCTTCTCCCATAAGGCCCAGAAACAAAAACAGGTACCTTATATAATATGTTAAGTTCCTCTGGAACCCAGTGTAAATAGAACAGAACACAACACCCATCACGTCCTGCACATGCCCACGACATGATGTCCTGAGTGGCATTGAAGAGTTTCCTTCGTCATGAAGTCCCTAGCCTGACAGCCTGGAACCTCACGATCTTGAACGCCGCAGCCCGCCCCGTAATAACGCGTCAATGCACCCAAGCATGAAGGACACGTCCATCTTCTATGGTACTCGAGGTACAGCCTCAACACTGAGCGTAGAGTCCCCTGCACCATACTTGAAGGTTGACTGCACGGGGGGGGGGGGGGGGTTAGGGTTGAGGGCTGAGGCCTTCCGACATTGAACCCAAAGAAACTCGCGCCGAAACACTTCCAAAAGCATCCTAAGCCCTAAGCCCTGACACGTTGCTATTTGCCCGTGTGGTTTTCTTGAAATTTCCGGTCTGGAGAGAGTGTTCTTCTGTTGAGGGGCGGGGAGGGGGGGGGGGAGGGGGGGGGGATTGGTTACGACCATTTGACTCTAACCATCCCCAAACCCTGCTATTTACGGCGTTTTTGCCTCTTTGTGCAACATGTTGCTGGAGGATGTTTGATGTTCAGCAAAACGGGCGCTGTCACACGTGTTCATGCCGTTTTGCGAACATGCCCAAAACCCTGCTATTTGCGGCGCTTTTGCCTCTTTGTACAACATGTTGCTGGAGGATGTTTGATGTTCAGCCACACAAGGCACTGTCATAAGCGTTCATGCCATTTTGCGAACATGACCAAAACCCTGCTATTTGCGGCATTTTTGCCTCTTTTATACAATGTGCGTCTCATCGAACACAACTACAGCTGGGTCTGGCGCTGGCAATTGGTCCCCAAGCGAACATCCTGGATCGCTTGGGGAAGGTGTGCTAAAATGAGTGCCCTAAGTTTGCGTTCCTGGATTTCCTAAAGCACGAATCCCTCAATTTCCACAGCCACACGCACGAAGTCCTGTAATTTACAGCGCTTTCCGTGTATGCCCTAAAACGTACAGGCCCGCCACCACACGGTCAGATATCAACGTGTGACTCCCTAAGCCCTAAACCCTAAACCCTAAACCCGAGCCTTAACCCTAAGATTCCGCAGGCTAGGGTTCTGCTCGGTTCGTGTTTCAGTTTTTGTTCGGCTTGTTGCGATTTGGCCTGTGGCAAAACCCGTGACATCCCAGGCACCCTACACCCTACACCCTAAACCCTAAACCCTAAACCCTAAACCCTAAACCCTAAACCTTTTAAACCCTAAACCCCTTAACATCCCAGGCGCTCTTGAAAGCGATCCTGTGGCTGCAGACGCACCCTGCTGCCACAGGCCGTATCAAGCTTGTTTCCTTCCCTGAGAGATTAGGGTTTAGGGTTTAGGGTTTAGGGTTTAGGGTTTAGGGTTTAGGGTTTAGGGTTTAGGGTTATATATTTTTTATCGTGTTGCACAAAAGGGTTAGCCTTTTTTGGGCTAGGGTGTTCAGCCCCTAAGTCCAATACCACACTTACTACACTTCTGCAAAGTCTTCACGGATATGACGAATCATTCTTAGCCAACCGGCAAAAGAGAAGGCCCTTGGCCAACCTGCAACAAAGAAGGCCGTTTGGGTTCTACAGGTCTGCCTTTGGAAAAAGTGGCCATGTAGCCCTTGACTAGAGGAAAGGTGACCAGCCTCTGCACGCAAGGCGGGGCTGAGATTTTAGGGTTTAGGGTCCGGAGTTTGGGGAAGTTTAGGGTTTAGGGTGTAGGGTGGGTATTGAAGCTATGTTGCCATGATTGTCCGACACTTCTGCAAGCGGGCGCTGCAAAGCGGCCCAAAGCTGCCTCAACATCATCAAGTCCTCTTGATAGCTGCTTAAAGAATCATCCACCAATCAAGTCCTTTTGATAGCTGCCTAAAGAATCATCCACCAGCTTACGAGCAGTTGACACGTGAGCAGGCCGAGTCGTTGTGGGCTTCGCCATCATGGATGATGTGTGGCACTGGCGCGTGAGGCTTTCTGAGCCGAAGCATCCCCCAAACTTCAACTCCGGGATGAAAAGAAGGGGTTTAGGGTTTAGGGTTTAGGGTATAGGGTTTAGGGTTTAGGGTTTTAGGGCTTCCCCTGTTGCTGAAGGCTTAGAAACCTGGCTACAGTATGAACAAACATTTGGTGATGGTTGAGAGGTATACCTACCGAGGCCCTCCACCGCAAGCTGTCAAACCCCAATCTCCCTCAACTCACCAAAAGTTTGCCCAAGCAATCATTCCCCCCAAACCCCTAAACCCTAGGAAGAACCAAGCTCAAGCAACGAAGCCCCGGCTTAATGCTGATGAGCTGCATCCTGATATCCCTTAGCAAATGGCCCTGAAGAGCTCAAGCACTCAGAGCCCCGTAACCCCTGGCGTGAACCCTAAACCCTAAATAGTCAACCCTTCAAGCCTTGAAACCCCAGCCAGGATCTTGAGAAGGAATGAAGTTTTAGGGTTTAGGGTTTAGGGTTTTAGGGCACCCTTACCCATAAACCCAACCAAAGGCTCTAAACCTGGCCTCGGCACTCCTAGCTTCCGAGGGGCGTGAGCTTTGGCATTCAGGGGCTCGCTTCCCGTTTAGGGTTTAGGGTTTAGGGTTTAGGGTTTAGGGTTTAGAATGCAAAGCCCCAAGTTGAGCCAGCCTTTGCGCAAAGCTTGCAAAGGCGAATCCGGCACCCTGGTCCCAATTTTGGGAAAGCTTTGCTGCAGTAAAGGAGGCACTTCTCAAGCCTAGGGTTTAGTTAGGGCTGAGGGCTTAGGGCTGAGGACTTAGGGCTTAGAGTTCTTCAAGGCTTGTCGTATCCTAGACCATTCAAAAGGTTCGGTGTTTAGGGTTTGGGTGTTCAGGGCTTCAGGGCGTTAGAGTTTGAGAGTGTTGGGCTTTGTCCTCGCAGGCAGAGTGGCTGTTGGTTTTCGAAGATGGGGGGTTTTTAGCTTCACAAGGGAGGGGGGGGGGGGGACAAAGTGGGCCCACGTTGGTGCCCTGAAAACTAGAAAAATGGCATACCACAAGCGAAACGCCAAAAGGGGCCTCTGGTTCATCATGTAGATCAGCGCCACTAATAAAGCTGCCCCTAAACCCGAAACCCTAAACCCTAAACCTTTATGCAACCTCAAACAGCCGCCTAGGCACCAGTACTGGAAGCTAGTCTATTCACCAGTTGAGCCTTTGCTGCAGGGCTCGCAGGGGAGGCTGGGTGGAAAAGTCCAGCTTGGAGATTTTCTGTCCAGGGTGTTAAGAGTAAAATAATGAATATAACCAAGGGTTTAGGGTTTGGGATTTATGGTTTTGGGTTTTGGGTTTAGGGTTCGTTGGTTCAGGGTTTAGGGTTAGGGTTCATTGGTTCAGGGCTTAGGCCTTAGGATTAGGGTGGTGGATTCCAGTGGTGGATCTACTGTGCTCATTTTTTTTGCACCGGTGGTGAGTGTCAGGTTGCAGAATACCTCTCGACTGTGCTATCTACAGCCTCTCCCACCCCATGCAATCTAAGTGGACTCCCCGACCTGTTCCTTGTTAGGCTTGGGCCGAAACTCATTTGAAGTATAATATGTATATATATATATACATATATATATATATATGTATGCTAACCCCCCCCTCAAAAAAAAAAAAACAGAATTAAGAACAACGATCGGCGAGCATCGATGTTTCCTATGACAGGCTTCGACATGGTGCATTTGAATAACTAAATGGTGTACACCCTGAAAGGGGGAGGCTTTGAATGATGTAAAGCGGGTGGGAGACTCAAATAGTTTAAGTAACGTAAATAATGTAAATCCTGAAAGGCGTGGGGGCAGCTCCCCCCTTCTGGGGGGGAATTCAATACTTTAAATATGAAGCCCCTATTTGAATATGAAGGCCCTTCAGATTTAAATTATCTAATAGTCTTTACTTCCCCTTCGGGAGAGACGGGCCAGGCCCCCCCTTTCAGGATTTGATATCTTCAAATTATTGAAATTACACCACCGAAAACCCCAAACAGTAGAAGGAAATTACACGTGTGAAGTGAGGTTCCTTCATACAACACGCGAGCCACCGCACCTAACTTGGCTGGGGCAACAACCGACAACGCAGGAACCTAAAGGTTTGTTCCAGCCGGACATCAGAACCCTCTACGGAGTTTCACGAGCCACCACCGCACGCGAGCCACCGCACGCGATCCACCGCAAGCGAGCCACAACACCTTAAATGGCTGGGGCAACAATTGACAACGCAAGAACCTAAAGGTTTGTTGCAAACCAAGAACTGGCGAGCCACCGCACGCGAGCCACCGCAGGCGAGCCACCGCGCGCGAGCCACCGCACGCGAGCCACCGCACCTAAATCGGTCGGGGCAACCATTGACAACGCACGAGCCTAAAGGTTTGTTGCAAACCAAGGACTGGCGAGCCACCGCACGCGAGCCACCGCAGGCGAGCCACCGCGCGCGAGCCACCGCGCGCGAGCCACCGCGCGCGAGCCACCGCGCGCGAGCCACCGTGCGCGAGCCACCGCGCGCGAGCCACCGCACCTAAAGTGGCTGAGCAACAAATGACAACGCAAGAACCCAAAGGTTTGCTCCAGCCAGACTTCATGTAACGCTATAAGGAGTTTGCACGGTATTCACACACGCAATACAGGAACTGGCGAACCACCGCACGTGAGCCACCGCGCCTAAATCGGCTGGGGCAACAATTGACAACGCAGGAACCTCAAGGTTTGTTGCAATCCAGGGACTGGCGAGCCACTGCACGCGAGCCACCGCACGCGAGCCACCGCGCCTAAATTGGCTGAGCAACAATTGACAACAAATAAGAACCTATAGGTTTGTTCCAGCCAGACTTCATAAGCCTAAGGAGTTTGCATGGTATTTACACACGCAATCCAGGATCTGGCGAACCACCGCACGCGAACCACCGCACGCGAGCCACCGCACCTAAATCGGCTAGGGCAACAATTGACAACGCAGGGCCCTAAAGGTTTGTTGCAATCCAGGAACTGGCGAGCCACCACGCGCGAGCTACCGCATGCGAGCTACCGCAACGAGCCACCGCACGCGAGCCTCGCGAGCCACCGCGTGCGAGCCACCGCACACGAGCCACCGCGCGCGTCACGTCTTCTATATAGCTTTAGCCGCTGCAGATGGCAACAGCGAAAGAAGTTGCAGACGAAAGGGGTCTGACAGTACCAGGCACTACTGCGTGGGGGGGGGGGGGGGGGGCTGTGCCCCCCCCCAACCTTTTGCTTTTTTTAGCCGTGCAAGCGCGCCCATCGCGCGAGCGTTGCGTTTGCAAATGGGACCCAACCCCCCCCCCCCCCGCCGCTTTTGTTTAGCCGGGCAAGCGTAACTCATAATATGAATCCTGTTGAAAACCGTCCGCAGTAACGCGTTGCTTGCTTGCGTGCGGGATGGCTTTGCTTCGCTCCTGCTTGCTTGCTTGCTTGCTTCCTTGCTTCCTTGCTTCCTTGCTTGCTTGCTCCCGTCGCCGCTTGGTTACTTGCTTGCTTGCTTTCGCACGATGGGTTTCCATAAGGGTGCTTGCTTGCTTGGGTGGCTTTGCTTCGCTCCTGCTTGCTTGTTTGCTTGCTTGTTTGCTTGCTTGCTTGTTTGCTTGCTTGTTTGCTTGCTTGAGGGGACACAAAGGGAGACAAAGGGAGACAAAGGGACTGCGTGTTCTGTTTCTGGAGCTTCTCCACCATGCACTTCTGCTTCTTCAGCACTTGGCTCTCCCCACCCTTGTTGCCACGCTTCTGGCCCATCTTCTAGCACGAGTAGACCCTGGGTTCTGCACGCCCTGATTACCGGCCCGCGTTTGCGGTGCTTCCACGGCTCGCTGGGAGCAGGCACTGGCAAGCCAACAACGTTTTCGAACGTCTACACAATTCATGCTGGCATGCACACATGCACATGACGCTGCCGCAGCTACAGAACCAACATGTGCAAATCCGTTGCATTTCCTGCGTCCCACTCTGCTCTCCTGCGCCTACCCAAACTCGAAAACATGCGGGCATGCCACGCCGGCTCGCTGCCAGGCGATTTCAAGCAGTGCCTTCAAGCAGGAAGCGTCCGACCCGTGCTCGCCCCAACTCTTGGAGCGGTACCTACGCTGCGCAAGTGGACCTTCACCCTGGAACATAACCCAACGCTTGGAACATTGTCCCTATAAAACTTGCAGTCGCCTGGAGATAATTTCTCAGCTTCGCTGGCTCCAACGCGCTGCCCCAAACTCCACTTCACTGGCCTGCGCTTCGGCGCCGCCACCTTGTGCTCAGCAATGTGGTGCAAGCTTTGCCGCACCCCGCGCTCGAAATCTCTCTTGGACACCACTCGATTCACGTGCCTCTTTGCTCACGACTTCTTCAATCTCAGCGCATGTCAGCAAGTCCTCGTGCGCAAACTCCGCGTGCGCGGCGTGTTGTACCCTGACCCGTTTCACGTCGTGTGGAACAACTGCAAAACAGCGGGTCTCTGGGGCTCCGTGATACTCACCGGAGTTGCCATGGATATCTCGCTTGGCCCATGGCAGACACACAAGTGGTTCAGGACCATCATCGATGCAACGCACGACTGGTTGATCATCTCGAAAGAGGGGGACGCTTTGGTCCGCGCAGTGGTCCAGCCTTCCAGCGCGTGGCTGAAGAACGTGGGTGGGACGAGCACACCGTGCCGCAGCCACTTGCCGAGACAAGGTCCACGCTGAAGAACGCCCGCTTCTTGCACGCGCAGGGCGCGCGAGCTCAGCTACCGTGCTGGTGTGTTTGGAACGAACGCTTTGCAGCTTGGACGGGCAATGAGCGTTTCCAGAACTTCGAGGACTGAAAGACTCGTGTCAGCATAGATGGAGGCAGCCTCGCGGAGAAGCATGGGAAATAAGAAACAATAAGGCGGCATGGGTCCTTTAATTCTGGCTCCAAGACCCCTCCCAGAGCTAAAATAGGGTTTATTTGGAAGCAGGCTCTTGTGTTTAAAAAGCAGGTATTTGGGCTCTGTTTTCTCTTACAAAACCCGAGTACCAGCTTCCGAATAGACCCTATTTTAGCTACAACCGGGGGGGGGGGGAGGTATGATGAACACATTCCAGCTCTTAACCCTTACCCCAACCTGCTTCGCGGGAGCCTCTTTCAGGAGCACAACAAGAGCACGCATCCCGGAACACAAATTGATAGACCAGGAGACAGGGATTTTCCAAGAATTGGGCTTCATCTTGGTAGTCCCTAAAATTCGAACAGCAGATCTCTGGGTCAATATTGAGGACCTAATTTCTGGAAAATCCCACTGAGTTGGGAACAACGTACGTGGGGCTGGCTCGCTTGCCTGCCGGTACGGCTGGTTGACTAACCTGTAAGCCACGATTCTCTTTGTTGATTCCGCGTCTAGTGGTCGTATGATCCGATGCATGAAGCCAGTGATGTCAACGTCCATTTGATTCTCCATTCTTGGCAAACATAAACCTTAGACCCGAAGGTGTTATGTCGACCTTTGGTTAATCACGTGGTGCATCGCGCGCTGGTGTCAACCCCAAAAACGGAAAGGTGAAGCTTTAGGGTTTAGGGTTTCAGGTGTGAGCTTTAGGGTTCAGGGTCTAGGATATAGTCTAGCGCTTAGGGTTTGAGTCTTACACTTGCCATTGCCCGCCCCCCCCCCCCCCCCCCCCAAAGCCATAGACTCACGTGAACATGGAATGCATCTGGAGCTGTTTCAACACCAGCCCCCCTTACTGAAACCTGTGGAAGAGGCAACATGTCTAGGCTCGTCATGACATTGGATTTGGGTCCCAATCCGAGGGTGGACCGTGTGTGGGACGACTGGTGGAAGTTGCGCGGCACGATTCTGGTTTTATGATATTTTTGTTAAGTTGCAGACGGCCTTGTGTGAAGAACTTTGCTTGGGCTTTGGTCTGCAGATCTTTAGTTTGTTCCACATTGGACATTGTTTGGAGGTTTGGGCGAAACAAGGTGTATAGTATTTGGTTTGAAGAGGGTTCCTTCTCATTTCCTTTGGATGCATCCGGGCGGTAATGAAATTCTGTGAAGCGGAGGTGCTCAACTGGGGCTTTGATTTGTCTTGTTGTTGTTGATGATGGTGGTGGTGATGCTGATGTTGACAATGGTCAGGATGGTTGTGACGATGAATGTAGTAACCCTTATAGCCTAGTCACTCCTGGGGCAAGCCTTGCAGCAACCCACCCGACACCCCACTCTTGCAACTGGAAAATCTGAAGAATCGCAGGGCGAAAACGAAAACTGCTCTGGTCGATGGTGCTGCCGCTGGCAGCACACCAGCGCTTCTGGGGCCATAGACCTGTGTTTGGGGTTTCGATTTCGGTGGAGGGGGGGGGTTATAAGCAACGGTAGGCAGGGGCCAGCACTCAGGGAAATACTCATGGCAGAACAACCCTGAACCCTGGCCCTAAGAAGTTGAAACCATAGCCCTGGGCCTTGTCAACCTCAGTCCAATCCTTAAAGAGTCAGCCCGGGCCAATGTTCGTTTACCCCTAAACCGTGAACCTAGCCCTGACCATGAGCCCTTTATATTGATGCCATAAACCTTGAATCTCTGGACAGCGCAGGCCTTGGGCCCTGTTGCCGCGAGTCCCAAAACAGTGCTTCGTAGTATCTGCTCGTCCAACTGGAAATCTGCGCTTCTGGGACCATAGACCTGTGTTGGGGTTTCGATTTCGTGGAGGGGGGGCTTGTAAGCAACGGTAGGCAGGGGCCAGTGCTCAGGGAAATACTCATGGCAGAACAACCCTGAACCCTGGCCCTAAGTAGTTGAAACCATAGCCCTGGGCCATGCCCATCCTCCTCGATCTCTGCATCCTTTTCCAGACGCTGGGCTCAGCAAACAAGCGGCGCCAACGTCGCAGCAGCAGAGAACGCCATCTGATCCACGCGCTCACACTTGTTGCCACACTCACACTTTTCGTTTGCCCACAGGCCCCAAGGCTTGGCCCAAAGGTTTCTTAGCAGCAGCACACCTCTTGCATGGGCTTGTGTTCGCTAGAGTCTGACCAGAATCTGACCTTCAAGGAGTATGTTGAAAGGTGCTGACATCCATGCTCAACATCAATCATGAGCTGCTGAAGCTCTTCCTCGCTCAGGAATCGCGCGCTACGTGCAGTCCACGGTGTGCCCAGGTGATGGCATTGGATTCCCTATTGCAAATCGCGGACAAGTACCAAGAATTGTGAGGACTCCCCGAATTTGTTCATATTCATGTGCGTGTGCGCGCCCTTGGCACCGACTCAGCTCAAAGTTCTGGGAGGAAAACACGGTGCAGGTGAGCACAAACTGCTTCCCAAAGGACGACGCAGCGCCTGAGGCGGGGATGCTTGACTTTTCGGGTGTGATTCTCAACCGTGGCATGTCTCATTATCGTTTTGCGCCCATGCTTGGGCAAACGCTTGATTTGGGTAAACTTCCTCATGGCTGGCCTACTACGGTGCTCCGTTGATATCGCTTTCACGAGAGATCCCGCAGAGCGGTGATGTTTCGCGCATTGAGACCATGGACGGGGCCACGAGACAGCCTTCGAGGACTTCCAGACTAGCCTGATCAAACGGCCGCGTTTTGGACATCAGTTGACAAGACAGCAGCAATCAACGCATGCCTGCATCTCTGCACGCGTCGTGCGCATTCCAACCCTCCTGAACAACCTCAGGCTTGAGTTCACCGAGTGGGTGAGTGAGCGAGCGAGTGCTATACATTGCATGATATGTCGTCTGTACGACAAGGCAGGTGAGGATGAAAACCGTGTCTCTTCGCCATCCATATCATCCTTTTTCTCCTTCTCAACTTTCTCCTTCGCGGCATCCATCATCACATCCTTCGAGTTGTCTGTGTCTTTTTTGTTAGGGTGCGGCTTACACGAGCCCTGAAACTTACCCCCTGAGCTTCAAGACCCTCCCCAAAGCCGAGCCCCGAAAGCTCGAAGCCTAGCCCTAAGCTCTAAACCCTAAGCCCTAAACCCTAAACCCCAAACCTAAACCCTGAACCCTAAACCCTAAACCCTAAACACTAAAACCCTAAACCCCAAAAGCCCGGCTGGCCCTACTGAGGCGGTCTTATGCTTCGGAGACTCATTGACCTACGGCTGGACCACGCAGGCCGACTATTCCCTCTGAATACGTGGGGGGTTTAGGGTTTAGTAGGGTTCAGGGTGTAGGGTGTAGGGTTTAGGGTTCAGGGTTTAGGGTTCAGGGTTTAGGGAGGCTTTGAGCTTCCAAAATGCGGGGATGATCGTAGGGCTTGCGGGTTGAGGGGCTCAAATCAGGGGTTTAGGGTTCGGGGCTTGGGTTAGACGTAGGGCTATAAAGGAATTAGGGTTCATGGAAACTAGGCATATATTCTAAGGCTACAAAGGCTACAAACAGGAGACTGCCGTAGCGCATTCTTTGACTGTTTTTCTTGCCGACATGACAAAACTCACACTGATATCTACCCTAAACCCTCAATTTTTAAGACCTACAAGCCCAAGCCTTCAAGCCCCCTCGACTTTTGGCAGGGCGGTCAGCCGAAACCTTACGGCATCTTCCTCGCACAGCTACTGGGGTTGCCTCATGAGAATGTGGCCGCGCCCCCGGGTGCTCATTTTGAGGGTTTCGGGTTTTAGGGTTTCGGGTTGAGCCCTAAACCCTAAAGGCTTTAGGGTTGTAGGGTTTAGGGTTGTAAGGTTTCGGGTTCCGGGCTACGGGATATACTTGAAGTTGCTTAAGGCAGGCGTTGAGAGTTTAGGTTGTCTTGTGGGGTAGGTTACAGACCTGAAGGTTTACGGTCCCCAGAAACCCTAGATAAATACTAGAAGCCCTAGACCCTGTACACAACCTGACTAAACCCTAAACCCTAAATTTGGGGGCTGTTTTCAACAGGGGTCCCATTGCAGAAGGCATAGTCTAACACGGCTCTTCTCCTTTCTGGAGACTTCTTTGAGGGCTCAAGGTTCGATTTTATAGTGATCCGATTATGCAAAGCATGTGGTTTCTGTTTTGTATCCTCAAACCCCAAACTAGAAACAAACGCTTCGTTTTCCTTGCAACCTACCGAAAAGAAAACAATTTTGCTCCAGCGCATTCCCCTAAGCCCCGTAAACCACAACCCCCCAAACCTCAAAACTCTAAACCTTGAAACCCGAAAACCCTGAAACCCCAAAAGCCCTGAAACCCCAAAGCCCTGAAACCCCCAAATCCGAGAAGCCCTCAGCTCCTGGGTGGGTTCTTCAGCAATGGCATTCCTTGAAGAAGAGAATCCCGAACCCGAACCCCCCAGACCCCAAACTGGAACCCCCCCAGAAAAAGCAAGAACCGAAAAACCTGAACGAAAGTTTCCAGCCCCAAACGCGAAACCCCAGTGGCAGTATTTTCGAGGAACCCGAAACCCCAAAATCCAAATCCCCAACAGCCGTAAGGGAACATGTGGACCCTAAACCCTGAACCCGAAAGCCTAAACCTAAGCCCCTAAGCCCTGAACCCGAAACCCCAGCTGCAATCGGCAGGTAGCAGCCGGCCTCGCTGGCCAAAAGGCCCTGCCGGGAGGAATATGGAGCGCAGTCCGTGCTAGGTTTCTTCCCCCCCTGAACCCTGAAACCAGAATCTGAAAAAATGAGAGGGTCATGAATGCTACACAAACTCTATTTAAAACTCAGCTGGAATCGGCCACTTTTGGCCGAATCCGAAACCTTCGTCGACAAATGGTTTTTTCCTCTCGGCGGCCCTAAACCCGCACCCCCTTCGTCGGCGGCCCCTAAACCCTGACCCCCTTTGTCGGCAAACAGTTTTTTCCCCCCCGAGGAGGGGGGGGGGGCTAAAGGGCCCTAAACCCTGACAGCCTTTGTCGAGAAGTGGGTTTTTTCCTTCCGGGAACCCCTAAACCCGAAACCCGAAACCCTAGACCCTAAACCCTAAACCCTAAAGTCCTGCTGAGGGCTTGCTACCAACACTTGAGAGCCCGAAGCTGTCCGAGCTTCGCGAGCACTGAACGTGCAGCCCAGGTAAAGCTGGGGCTGCTGGACGCTCCAAAGCAAGGCAAGGCCCACGCTGGCCGTCAAGGCGGTCCAGCAATTTCCCGACCGACGCTGGCTACGCCGGCTCACAGGAAGAGCTGAACTGGGATATCATACCTGTTGAAGACTAGCATTTTCCATTGGTGTGAAGTTTTGCTCTGTCCTGTTGCTTGCTCTAGCTCGCTGCGCCATGGTCGATCGCGCGGCATACCCGGACGGCAAGGTCCTGGATCTGGCGGTGCGCCGGATCTTCGGGTGCCAAAAGCTGCCATCGAACACGTGCCTGCTCATGGTGGAGATTGGCATGCTGTCCTTGGAGCGCATTGCCATGCTCGGCGATGACCTTGCCACTGTCAAAACTACGCTGAAGACGCTCGCCGCGAGTGAAGACGTCCTCAACGCTCCAGGACCATGTGGCGACCAGGCGCTCCAAAATGGAACAGGGTCCGAATAAGATCCCAGAAATTCCAGGCGAATATCACGCCGAGTTCCGCGAGATCTTTGTGCAAGCTCACCCGGACGTATTTCTGAACTACCGCAAAGAACCCCACCAGAAGCTCGTGGAGAAGCTCTACCGCGACGATGTGGTCCATGGAGCGGTGCTGAGATGCGAACGAGGCCGATCGGTTCGCAGATTTGCAGATTGGTTGGGGGCTACACATCTGCGAATCTGCGAATCTGCGTTTTCTCGAGGAAACGCAGATTCACAGATTTGCAGATTGCTTGGGGTTACAAATCTGCGAATCTGCGTTTTTTGAGGAAACGCAGATTCGCAGATTTGCAGATTGGTTGGGGGCTACAAATCTGCGACTCTGCGAATTGCTGACCTGAGACTTGTTTTTTTTTTTGGGGGGGGGGAACCATACATATATATATATATATAGAATATATATATATATAGAATATATATATATACACACATATTTCTTTCTCTTTATCTATACATATATAACTTCCCATTGCCTCTTGGCCGAGTTGGGGTCTGAAGCCTATGGGGCTCGGGGCTTTCTTTCCGTTGGTCTAACTGGTATGGGAGTTTGCAGTGTCCCGCCAATTCAACTTTCTACTCGAAATTGAGCGCCGTTCGGGATTCGGAGGAAGTCTTATGCAAGCTACAAGCCCCAGTTTTGCTGAGCCCCATGTCCCAAAGTCGTTGCGTCAAAACGTGTTTATTGAGGACACTTCTGCTGATGAGAAGAGCCCTTGTGCTGCAATGGCGGACCAGTCCATTTGCTTTGGGGCTGGCGGGTCAGGACTTCAGGCGGTTGAATGTTCCGACGGAAACCTAAGCACCCTAAACTTAAACCCTAAACCCTACACCCTAAACCCTAAACCCTAAACTTGCAACCCTAAACCCTCAACAACATCCATATATGCCCATGTACAGATAAAGCTTCTGCAGCGACTTGAGCTGTCTGGGCCCCAGTCTGCCCTAACCCCTCCGCCGTCGTTAGTTATCCCATAGACCCCCAAGTCTCAAACCCCAAGCCCTGAACTATATCCCCTTGGGAATTATTTTTTCTTTTTGTTTATGTAAAACCCAAGAGGGTATTGAAAATATTATTTTTATTAAGGTTCTAAGGTGAGTATGGTGAACCCTACCCCCTTATTTGAAGAGCTTAAAGCCTCAGGTTTTCGGCACCATTGCTAGAAGCCGACACTTTAACCCTGGGGGGGCATGGGTCAGAGCATGAGCCTCCAAGCGCAGGCAAAGCCGGTTCAGGGTTATGTCCGCCGCTCTGTGTGCCGATTACAAAGTAACTGGAGGCTGGGGTTAAGGTTCTTCTCGCACTACGCCAGAAACAGCCTCCAAGACTCAGCAGACCTTTGGAATCCCCCAAAGCACCCCCTAAACCCTAAACCCTAAACCCTGAACCCTGAACCCTAAACCCTATGTGTTTGAGTGTTTGACCTTATACCTGGTCAATGTATTGTATGCCCACCCGCGCTGGCGAGTACAGCCACTCATCAGGCTGCCCCTACCAATGCGACGCGCTGGCCTTAAGGGCTACCAGCTTCTCGCACTCCCCCCGCTCCACAGCTTATGCGAAGGAGTGCTCCCTGCTGCAACTGCCCCAGGCCCAGCAACCACCAGCAATGGCTGAGAGGTGTGCGCAACCTGGCCTCTCCATTAGGCGCTCATTGCCCTCAATTATTGGCAAGGCCATGCTGGGATGCCACCCATGACCCCGAACCCCCTGGCAAAGCCACCCGCTGTGCCCGCCAGACTCTCAGCAGCCGACATGAAGTAACCCCCCACAGCTTTAGGCCACAACCACCAAGCCCACTACCAAGCGGTGCTTTGCGCAGCAGCCCGATACTTGGGCTCATAACCTGTGTTTGACCTTATACCTGGTCAATGTATTGTATGCCCACCTGCACTGGCGAGTACAGCCACTCATCAGGCTGCCCCTACCAATGCGACGCGCTGGCCTTAAGGGCTACCAGCTTCTCACACCCTAAACCCTAAACCCTAAATCCTAAACCCTAAACCCTAAACCCTAAACCCTAAACCCTAAACCCTAAACCCCAAACCCTAAACCCTAACCGAACTCATCTCAAACCTTGAGGCCTCTTCGGCGAGCCTTGCGCTCGTGGCGCCAGCGCTTCGGCAAGTAGAGCCGCTGAGCGACCTTTGAGGGTTTAGGGGTTAGGGTTTAGGGTTTAGGTTTAGGGGTTAGGGTTTAGGGTTTTGGGTTTAGGGTTTAGGGTGTAGGGTTCGGGGTTAGGGGTTACGGTTTAGGGTTTAGGGCTTGGGGGGTTGCGCTTGCGACGCCAAAGCTAGGCCGTAGGCCGCTGGCGGGATCCTCGGGCTCTTTAAACCTCGCGCCGTCGACTACCCTTCAACTCCAAGGCCCTAACAGAATCGCAGGTTAAGGAAGCAAACCCTTTACTAGTGCACCTCTTGGGTCACCCTCAACCCCAAACCCTATACCTAACCCTAAACCCTACACCCTAAACCCTAAACCCTAAACATTACTGCACCTCGACCCCAAAACTACCACCGAGGTCTTTGGCACAGCAGGATCCCTGGGATCACTTCTGCCCCCCGGTCATGCAGTGTTCCGATTCTTTGGGGGGCCTCTATGGTTTAGGGTCTTAGGGTTCAGAGCTAAGGGTATAGATTCAGGGATTTCGATGCTTCCCTCTGAAGATTTCGAGTAGAATACGGGCTTGTGAGGCTTTCCGCTGTCTCGGAAGTGTGGGGGCCGGATTGGCTCATTCGGTTAGGGTTTCGGGCTTGGGGTTTAGGGTTTAGGTTTTAGGGTTGAGAGTGGCATTGTGCAAGGTCCTTCGTGGACGCGGACCCTGAGAATCAGTGGAATTGGCCCCACGGCAGGGACATCTTGCTGGGGTCGGGTTGTTTGATAATTTTAAGCACGCTAAGCCCTGAACCGCCTAAAGCCCGCAAAGCCCTAAAGCCTAAACCCTACACTCTTGTACCCCAAACCCTCCAAACCCTAAACCCTTTTAACGTCCTGTATATTCGGGTTTCGGCCCGAACTCTCGTCCGAACTCCTCTCACATAGTGTGCAGGTGCTGGGTCGAGGGCGGAGGAAAGGGCCGACGGAAGAGTTGCTACGAGGTAGCGGGTTTTTTTGGGAGACGGCGGGCCTTACTGGGACTGCCAGTGGTCAAATTATACACCCTGTGTGTTTTTTAGGGCTTCTGGTTCACATGCCATCCCGCATTAACATCTCAAAGCCCGACTTAGCTTCGCCCTCGATCTAAACCCTAAACCCTAAACCCTAAACCCTAAACCCTAAACCCTAAACCCTAAACCCTGAACCCTCTCACAACGAGACCAGGCTCGTAGACCTGGACCTTCAGCTGCAAAACGCTGGCCTGGAGGCTGGGTGTCCTGTTTCGGCGTTATTTTGGAGGTGAAGCCTAATGGGTAAATAGTTACAAGTAGGATATTTTTTTATGCACCCACCAGAAAATGGCGATGACCGCTGGAGTTTTCAACTCGCCCCCTACTTATAACAGCACCAGTTCTCACGTTACCAGCCATGACAGCTAACAGTGGAACATCAGGGCTGCTTTTGGGGCTTATAGCGATGATGTGTAGGGCTTATTGTGGTCTGGGGTTTGGAGTTGAGTGGCTCAGGGGGGGAAGTCCAGGAGCTGTGAGGAAGGCTCTGAGAGTCAAAGGAAACCGTGGTACGAATGGATTCTTGGGGTTCCGTATGAGAGTGCATACCTGTAGCTCGAAGCCCGAAACCGCCCGAAACTTCTTATTGGTAACCAAGCTTAACTAAAGGGGAAGCCCTTACAATACCCCAGACTAAGGGGGAGCCCCAAACCCTAAACCCCAAAACCCTAAACCCTGAACCCTAAACCCTAAACCCTACCCCCTAAACCTTGAGCTTCGAACCCTAAACCCTAAACCCTAAACCCTAAACCCTAAACCCTAAACCCTAAACCCTAAACCCTGAGCTCCGTAAGATCCAAAACCCTGCGGCAGGTCCTGGCATGCGCAGCCTGGGGCATGCCGGATGCTGGGAATTGAGGGTTTAGGGTTTAGGGTTTAGGGTTTAGGGTTTAGGGTTTAGGGTTTAGGGTAAATACGCAAACCCTAAACCCTAAACCCTTTAGATCCCAAGAATAGCCATTTGGAGTAGGGCCAGTGTTCTTGGGAACAGGATGTTGCATCAGGTTTGGTGCGCCAGGGGGACACTTCTCTACCCTATGGTCCTTTATGGGCCTCTGAGCGCAAGTCCCGCTTAGGACCCTCGTGACGATACGAAGCCTTATTCTACTTAAACACAAATCCAAGAAGGGACCAGATATTTCGTACAAGGGAACCTAAAGTGGCCTGCTGGCAGCCTAGCATGGGCTAACAGAACTCAGCTTCAGGGCACGGGAGACGCCTGCGGGTCCAGGCTCAAAGACAGAACCCCCACTATACAGATCTTCCATGTTGGGTTTTGGGTTTGGGGTAGGGCTTGGGGTTTAGGGCCCAGCACCCTTAACCCTCACAATGTGACCTTTTCGGGCCCCCCACATCCGAGGAAGAGGACTACCTTGCAAGAGCTAGCCTCACGCGCCACCTGGCACAAAAGCATCAGGCCGGGTGGGAAGCCCAATGCCCCTTTCTGTAGCGAAGGAGAGTCTGTCTTATGTCACTTATGTCATTAGTTTCTTTCTGCCCGCTAGTGCTCCCTGTTTCTCATACAATGTGAGCTACAACTGACAATTCGCCATACTCTGCGAAAAGCAAGTGGGTTGCCTATGTTGGCATGTAGTGGCCAGAACACCCTGACAGCACCTGAAATTTCCAATACTGTTAACCCTAAGCCTTAGGAGGTTAATATCTTGTGGCACATGCAACTATGGGGAGCCCTAAACCCTAAACCCTAAACCCTAAACCCTAAACCCTAAACCCTAAACCCTAAACCCTAAACCCTAAACCCTAAACCCTAAACCGCAGTGGAGGTGGAGATGGCAGAGTTTCTGGAGGGCGAGAGGCAGGTTCACTGCCTCCCAGGCTCCGACTGGTTCCAAGCCCCTTTGGCGCACAGCTTTAGGGTTTAGGGTTTAGGGTTTAGGGTTTAGGGTTTAGGGTTTAGGGTTTAGGGATAGAAGTTTCGGAGCCTGGGCGGCTGTGCCGTCCGATGAGCTCTGCATCCTAACCAAAAGTTGTGCACTCACACTTTCACAGTGGTCATGTTGCTTTAAGGGTTTGGGTCTGGGGAGACGGACCCGATAGACCACGCGGTGGCCAATTTTCGTATCGGTAGCCAGAGTGCGCTCTGGTATTGGGGGTCGGAGTAAATACTAATAGTATTCCCTTATGGCCCCTTTATCATTTTTACTATAGTAGCCCCTGAAACCCAGTCTAATTATTCAGGCCCTAAACCCTAAACCCTAAACCCTAAACCCTAAACCCTAAACCCTAAACCCTAAACCCTAAACCCCAAAATCACACGCCCTGGTGTAGCCCCAGGTTGCCCGCAAGGGTCTCGTGGCTCCATGGTGCTTCCGCCGAGACGTGATGCAGGCAAGAGAGAGAGGGCTATATCCCCCTTGGGGTTTTTTAATTTTTGTTTATATAAACCCAAGAGGATACCTTGTTTTTTTAATGTTTCTTTCAAACCCAAGAGGATATTAACAGAAAGTTTTTTCTTAAGGTTCTAAGGGGGGTATAGAGGGGGGTTCCAAAGATAGGGGGTACCGCGAGTACCCTTTCGGGGAGTTGAGGGTTTAGGGTCTAGGGTTTTCGGGTTTGGGGTTCCTGTATATGGGATCATCGTATCTTGGGATATTTTGGCGGGACCCCCCCCCCCCCCCCCAAACAAAAATTGGGAAATACCCGTATGGTTGCCTGTTGAGGGTTCCGAGCTTCCGTGAAGGAACCCTTACTTCCTCTTCCCGCATAGGTTTATGGCTTCAGGAGTTTCAGGCGGGTTTTGGTCTTCGGTGCATTTCTACAGAACTGAATCAGGTGTCGGTGTTGGCGCTAGCCGCTGGAACCATTTTGCAGCCCTAAACCCTAGCTACACCGCATCAAAACCTTTCCCAGCCCTTCCAGCCGGCTACTCAGCCTAGAAAGAATATGGGAAAGCTCACAAAGCTCAACGACCTTCCATAGCAGCCAGGGCAGCACCTGGCAGTTACGCCGACAAGCACACAATAGCAAGAGGAGCGTCTATAAGACAATGCCAACCAGAAACTAGAGTAGATATACAAATTGGAATACCGGACAGTAATAACCAGAGGAACAGACATGATAAGGAACAGCAACAACAACAGTATCGATAAGACGATCACACCTCCCCCCAACACTTTAAAGCCCCAGCAATGAGAAGAGTGCTACTTGGTTGCCCCAGTACGGGCCCTACATGATCGTGATCTGGCGATGGTCCTTTTTCAATCTTTTTCAAGGGGTTGGCGGCAACCAAAATTGGGGTTTACGAAAATAGGGGACTCTCAATATGGATCCCCGAATCGTAGCATCCCCTTATAGTCAGAACCCCAACAAGGTACCCCTAATTTCGGAAACTTCGAAATGAACCTTCGGACAGTGACGAGCTCCCTAAACCCGAAAACCCTACTGTTACGAGGCGTTTCGCCGGGTCAGCAGCTGGTGGAGAGGCTTGGATCCACGCAACTTTGTCGTGCCAGAGGAGTCCGGGCAAAGGGTTGGGAGTTTGCTGTAGGGCTTGGGTTGTGGCAGTAGCTTTGGGGGTGGTTGCACCTGCTTGGTGCGACAATATCCATACGTGTTCCTGTGCGCTGAAGCACGTGGTCTGGGCTCTGAAGGTGGCGTTGTCACCCGCATACCGTTGCGGATTCTCTTTCGAGTTCTGCTGCTTCGTCTTATCATGTCAGCGCAGGCCGACAGCGAAGCTGGCCAAGTCGGCGACGTTCCTGTTCAACGTGTCTCTCTTGATTGTTGTTTAGTAGGTTCTGCTGTCGCTTTGCGCTTTGCCAGACTTTGCCATGGCTTCTCTTTGTTTTTCGGGTTGCGTAATGCGGGTTTTCTCACTTCCGCGCAAGCGGCAAAGTATGCAAAACATGGAGATCACACAAGGGCTCATGTCGATGAGCCCCCAATGTCTCCCAACAAGCTCAGGGCAAGAGCAAGAGATTTGAGTTTTCTTTGCGTCTCCAGCTTCCCTTTTTCCAGCTCTTTGGAACAAGTCCTGAAAGCTGCGAGAGCTTGAAGTTCACAATCTCTCGGGCACTGGGGAAGTTAGTCGCGGCGGCAGGCGTGCGTCTAGGATTTTGCCAGCATCCTTTGGAGCAACATGTGTTCGGACTCCCCCTGTAAACATCCGCCCTTTGAAGAGTGGCATGTGCGCATCCAGGTCATGCGTGCGCAATGGTGGAGCAAGATCATACAGGCATGCAAATAAAAACCGCAAGTGGGAGTTGTTCATGAAGGCGAAGCTAGCACCTCCAAACGTGATCCTCATGGAAGCACTGCCACCCCCCCCCCCCCCTCCCACCCCGCACACACGTGGGACCCCACCGCCCCAAGCCACGAAGCCTCGTTTTGCCGTCCTGCAGGAGGGGACCTTCCTGGCGCTCTTCCGCAACGGGGCAGCCACACTTTCTGAATCTGAGCCCCCCCCCCCCCTCCCCTTCTAAGATTTTTTGACGAGGCCCGGGGGTAACGTGTGAGTCTCGGTGAAACCCAAGCCATCATCTGCGTCGCTTCCTCAAGAGTGATGGTTGAGAAGCTCTTCGTGGCTGATCCACTTGATGAGAAGCTATGTGCATCCGGCCCAGTAGCTCTCGCTTAAGCACACTCTTTGGGGCCTCTATGGTTTGGGTCTAGGGGAACCTGCTGCAAAGAGGAGCAACATCGGTCCTGTGTTTGATCCGAAGCCTCAGGCCTTCATGGGTTGAGGGTCGAGGAGTTGGGTCGTTTGGGGCCATAAGCCAACACTTTAGGGGATTCCACCACCAAGACGGACAAAGGAAACGGCCGCAGGTCCGCGAAATCCCAAACCCTCAAGCTTGAATCCGATGGGTCCTACCCCTTGCATTGATTCCGAGCCTCTCGGCAACCCAGCCTAAAGCCCTGGCCCGTCAGCAACACGAGCCCCGTCACATAACCCGAATCCCAAAATGCTAAGTCCCGTGAAGCCAACAGTCTGACACACGTGTCACCTTCCCAAAAACCCTAAACCCCAAACCCTAAACCCTAAACCCCACTCTACACCCAAACCCGAAACCTTTTTGTTTTTATTGCTTCCTGGCAACCCTAAACCCTAAACCCTAAACCCTAAACCCTAAACCCTATAAGGCCGGGATCATGCCCTGGGACTCCGACTTCGACGTGAAGCTGTACACCGAGGCGGACATCACCATGGAAGGCCAGGGTGTGAGGATTTAGGGGGTTTTGGGTTTTAGGGTTTAGGGTTAGCCGTCCTGGCGACTTCAACTTCAAAGGCTTGAGGGGTTCAGGAGGTTAGGGGCTTTCAGGGTTTGGTGGATTTTTTTTTTTTTTGGGGGGGGGGGGATCATGGCTTTGGGGACTTCGGTTTTACATGTTTTTTGTTGTTATGTAGTCGCCTGTTTTTTGGCGGAGGGTGGGTTGGGCTTTTCGGTGGTTTCGGTATCTTTCGGATTTGCGGCACCCGGCTCTCAGCTTTGTGTTTTTAAGGCCCAAAATGATGATCTATCTTAGGTGATGGGGTTGTCAAGGGTTGCGTGGTACCTTGGGACGCTCAGACAGCCCATGGACAGTTGAGGAACATGGGGCTTCCGACCTATGCTTGTGCCAGACCCCTAGACCCTAAATCCTAAACTCTAAACCCTAAACCCAATCACCTTGAGCTTGGGCCGAGCTGGCTCCTCACGAGGCTTCATATCAGGGATTTACTATAGGGTCAGAAGAATTGCTAATTGCCTAGTAGTAGAGTAGGTAACCTTTAACCTTTTTGGGGTAGTATAATCCCCTTGTAATCCCAAAGGCAGGTTAACCTTTAATTCCCCCAGGTTACTGGACAACTAAGATATTCGGGGGCCCCTGTATGGTTATACTATACTAGCCCCCAAAACCCTGTTCAAATAATTCAGGCCCCGATATTCTGTACTTAGGATTCTTTGAAACTGGGTAAGGGGGACCCTCCGCCTCCGAAGGCTTCATGAACCGGACGCATGAGCCGGCGTTTCAAGCCATCGGGCGGCTCAGCTTAGATTCATGGCTCGTCGCACCCCAAGCCGGATCCGATGAAGAACTGGTTCTAAGGGCTTGGGGTTTTAGGGTTTCGGGTTCAGGGTGTCAGCAGGGTTTCGCATCAAGATTTCGCAGATCCTGCGGAAGGGGTGGAGGATTCAGGGACCCTAAACCCTAAACCCTAAACGTGGACACCCCTCTCGCCGGTCAACCCACCAAGCTTTCATAGGAGCAGATCACTGCTCCAAATCGTTTGGAGTTACTTCGTAGGATCCCTTCAAGGCATTTGCCAGGAACCTGGCTTTTTGCCGGCGCAGTTCGCAGTTTTTGGGTCCCTTGCGGCCTACCCCTGCAACCACCCCCAAATGCCAATCTGGACAACACATTCCAAGAAACCTCAGGGTGTGCCTGGATCCTTAAAGAAGAAGGGGGTGGAAAGTAACCCAATGTTGCCCAACCTTAAGTACACCCCTCCAAGTGGATGCAGCTTGGAACGTTGTGTTGTTTAAATTTTATTTAAACCCATTGCAATAAATGGTTAAGCCTAAACCCGAAAGGGTTCAGGAATCAGGGTTTAAGCTGGGCTTAGACACTCCGGCCTTCAAGCGGCTTCTCAGGATACAAGCTTTTGCGTACGACGGCTGCGGTCAGGCCTCCACAGTGATGTCAACTAAGGGTCTAGGGTCTGGGGTTTAGCCTGTAGGGTTTAGGCTTCAGGGTTGAAGGTACAGGGGTTGTTAAGTCTTAAATTGCAGTTGCGGCTTACCTTCAATCCGACCCCAACCCCAAAACTTATTCCGGGAGCCGTCCTGAACGTACCCAGCCAGCGAAGCGCCTTGCCCTAAACCTGCGAACCCGGCACTTCTCAACCCTAAACCCTAAACCCTGAACCCTGAACCCTAAACCCTAAACGAACCTTAAAACCACCCAAGCCCGGGCCCAAAGCTTTAGGGCTTGGGGCTGAGGGTCAAGCTATGGCGCAGCCGACTGCAAGACCCCTCAAGCACATCATAGGCTAGTAGCAGAGTAGGTAACTTTAACCTTTTTGGGGTAACATAATCCCCTTAAAGTCTCAAAGGATAACCTTTAGTTCCCCCCAGGTTACTGGACAACTAAGATAGGATAGGCAGGCCTCTGTGATATTAGGTTCTATTTTCCCTTGTTGGGTTGAAGGATATCACTTTCAGGAATATTTGACATTCTCTATGTTCCCTTATTGGGTTTAAGAGCATGATTTTCAGGAATATTTTTTCGGAGGGTTGTTTTCATGACATCCTAGTAGGGTTGGCTGCAGGTCGTTGCTCTGAGGCTTCGAGGGGCTCGGGGTTTTGAGTGCGGGGCTGATTTGATAGCTGCAGCTTCGGGGTTGAGGGTGTGGGGTTTAGGGTTTAGGGTTTAGGGTATGGGGTTTGGGGTTTAGGGTTTAGGGTTTAGGGTTTGGGGTTTGGGGTTTGGGGTTGGGGGGACCTTCGGGCTTCGGCTTGTAGCCTTCTAGGCCCTGCGTCCCAACCGGTGACAGGACAACTACGTTCTTCTACGGCAAGCGAGCATAGTGCACCACATTGGCCGCTGAGCCTGGTTTTTAAGGCCGCCTCGTGGCATTTTTTTTTTTTTGGGGGGGGGGGGGGGGGGGGGGGGGTGAAAAGGGTTTGAGGTTTAGGGTTTAGGGTTTAGGGTTTAGAGTTTGGGGTTTAGGGTTTAGGGTTTAGGGGAGCCCTGAACCCTAAACCGCAAGGAAACCCTTATTCAGTAGGTTTTTCTTCGGGTGCTTCTGTCCATACATGCCTCCTTAGTCCCCGAAGGTTCAAGCCTTCAGGAAAGACTCAGCGAGCCAGGAGCATGGGGCGGCTTTGAAGGATGCGAAGCCTTCATCCCTAAAGCTTGAACCTAAACCCTAAACCCTAAACCCTAAGCCCTAAACCTTACTTCTGCAAGTGGGCACCAAACAAAACATCCTGTCCCAAGGCGATGCCTACGTGCGATGTGGACGACCGAGGCGCAAAGGGCGTGCTTGTGTGGCTGCCACGCGCAGAGGAGGTTCAGGCTAAGAGTGTTTAGGGTTTAGGGTTTGGGGTTTAGGTTTAGGGTTTAGGGTTGAGGAGATGGTCCATTCTGGGATTTATGGTGCGTTTCTGGTACTTTGCTGTGCTACGACCCCTTATTGTTATGTTGGATGCCCCTTGACCCATCCAAGAGAGAACCGCTTGCAGGCAGTCTTGTTCACCCTAAGCCCAGCGTAATGTTGGTCCCATCGTTTCGATCAACCTCAAATGCATGCCCTAGACCCCGATAGATCTGTTAGATCTGTGTGCATACTATTCATAGTATATTGTATGATATTACATCGCATTACATTGCATAACATCATATCATATTACACTGTATTGAAATTATACATACATATAATATATATATATATATGGTACCCCCCCCCCCCCAAAAAAAAAAAAAAAAAAAACACGGTTCCATATGCTCTTCGGTGCAGTCCGACAGATCGGCCTGCCAGTTTGGTCATGGTGCCAGTTTGGTCATGGTAGAATTTGATTTCTTCATGACATATTTTACTCAATTTCACTAATTTGTCTAATGCAATTAATTTAATTACTTTACTTGACTTCGTTGATCCCCAAAAGCTTAATTCACATAATTTGGTCCACTCAGCAGTTGCTCGAGCGAGTGACTCAAACAGAAGTGACCTGAACAATTTGCTCGAGATCGTGGATTGCTGTCATTTTTAACTAAGATTGCTGTTAGTCTTACTTGGGTTCCTATTAAATTTAATAGGATTCATAGGGTTCGTGTGAATTCAATAGGAATCCGGTTCAAATCAATAGGAACCCCATTAAAATGAAGGAGAACCCTATTGAAATTCATGCGAATCTTTTTTCCAAACTGAGTAAGAGTCCTAACGCACAATTAACTAATAGGAATCTGGTTTAAATATGTAGAAGCTTAGCAAGTTAATCGGACTCCTATTAAAATTTCTTGGAGTCCTAAATTCAGAGGAATCATAGGAAGCCCATTGACCTGATAGGAACCCTTTTGAATTCATAGGAATGCTATTCAAATTAACAGGAACCCTACAAAAACATCTATGAATTCTTTTAAGAGTAGCAGGAATCCGTTTAACATGAAGATGAATCCTGTTAAGATCAAGAGGAGCCAATAAGATAAAAACAGCGTGGACCCTTTAAAACAATAAGAGTCGTACTGTGAGAATTATTTTGAGCCCTATTGAAGCTTTTAGTTAATAGGATTGCTACTGAAATTACTAAGAATTACAGTACAATTACTTCGAGTCCAATGGAAATGAATAGGGAACAGGATTCAAAAAAACAACAGGAACACTGTTGAATCTAGTAGGAATCCTATGAAAATATCCTTTCAACATGAATGAGAAACCCTGATAAAATGAATACGATTCCTATTCAAATTAATCGGAAGCCTATATTTAATAGAATTAGAAATTGTACGACATCTTATAAAGTTGAATAAGAAGCCTATTAAAATTCATAGGCATATGTTTAAAATTTGTTATGAAGCTTATTAAAATTCTTAGGCTTTTTTTAAATTACTTGAAGCTTATTAAAGTTCTTAGACTTTCTATTAACATTAATAGGAATAAGAAAGAATGCTACTAAAAGTACTAAGACCCGTATTCGAATTATTTGGAATCTGATTAAAATTAATAGGAATCAGTATTAAACCGAATAAAGTTTATAGGCATCCTTTAACAGGAATGCTTTAAAATTTAATACGAACCCCATAAAACAAATGCAGGATTCCTATTTGCCGGAACCTTATTGATTTAATAAGAATTCCCATTAACGTGAACAGGAGCATTGTTAAATTGAATAGGAAGCTTTGAAAATCATAAGGAATCCTTTAAAACTAGCAGGGATCCCATTAAGATTAAGACTCTTATTTTCCGTCTCTAATTCTACAACGTAATACCAAACACTTGACTTGTGTGCGTATATATGTGCTTCCGTTGTTTATACTTGTGCTTTTCTTTTTATTTTTTATTTTGGAACTGCCAGAATTCCAGAATCCCAGAATTCCAGAATTCCAGACTTTTTCGAGACTCCCAGTTCCAGAATTCCAGAATTCCAGATTTTTTCAGACACCTAGTTCCAGAATTCCAGATTCTGGAATTCTGGAATTCTGGAACTGGGGCCTCTCGAAAATCTGGAATTTTGCAATTCTGGAACTGGGGGTCTCAAAAAAATCTGGAATTCTGGAATTCTGGAACTGGGGGCCTCAGAAAATCTGGACATCTGGAATTCTGGTATGCCGGAATTGAGGGTCTCTGGGGAGAGGTTTCATAGTGTACGATAGCAAAACATAGTAAAACGCGGGTTTTAGGGGGGGGGGGGGGGGGGTAGCATATATATGTATATATATATATACATACATACATACACACACATAGACATATATATATATATATATACATATATATATATATATACATATACATACATGTATATATATATATAGATAGATATACTTTTCGATGTATACCCTGAGGCGTTTGGGGCGATTGTCAACATTGTTGCCCTGTTGGGTTCACTACTCCAAACCTAAGGCTCCGCAAGCAACATGTGAGCCATAGCCCCTACGGAAGAACTCAGAGAGAGCCCTCGAGCCCTTGAGAAGTTTCTCCGAAACCCTAGACCCTAAACCCTAAACCCTAAACCCTAAACCCTAAACTCTAAACCCTAAACCCTAAACCCTAAACCCTAAGCCCTAAACCCTAAACCCTAAACCCTAAACTCAGAATTAGAGGCATGAGCACCCCTGGCGAGCACAGCTGTTTGGAACCGAGAGTGCTGGCAGCAAGCGGCTTCGGGTCTAGGGTCTAGGATTTAGGCTGTTTTCGGTCTGCCATGCGCTGCCGATACTCTTTTAAAACACAGCGAAGGTTTAGGGTGCAGGGCTTGGGTTCTCCTCTACGCATGCAAAAGAAGGCCCACGTAGTCCTGAACTGAAACTTGTTGTGTGGGTGGGTAGGGGTGGGTGGGGGGGGGGGAGGGGGGGTAGCCGTAGTACAGTCATCCCTAAACCCTAAACCCTAAACCCTAAACCCTGAACCCTAAACCCTAAACCCCACCAACTGTTGGCGATGTTCGGGTTTCGGGTTTCGTTGGCGGTGACCGTCTTGGGGCCAAAGGCTTGGTGATGGTGTGCCAGCCAGCCTGGGTTCTCAAGGCTTAGGCTTTCGGGTTTCGGGTTTCGGGTTTCGGGTTCAGGGTTTAGGGTTTAGGGTTTAGGGTTTAGGGTTTAGGGTTTAGGGTTTAGGGTTTAGGGTTTAGGGTCCGAGGTCGAGGGCGTTTAGGTTCACCAGACCCCAAACCCTCAAAGCTTATCCTGACCCCTAGGCCGCAGGCCCTTAACAAGGACGCCGTGAATGCCTGGACTTGTGGGTGTAGTAAAATAGAGTAGCTTGAAGCTTGAATGGCCCTAGCCCTAAACCCTAAACCCTAAACCCTAAACCCTAAACCCTAAACCCTAAACCCTAAACCCTAAACCCTAAACCCTAAACCCTAAACCCTACAGAACCCTAAAGCTCTGGAAGCCCAGCAGCTGAGGGTGAGCCTGGGCGCCGACCACCTGAACCACATTTTCTTCACCCGTGCCTTGGATGCCACCGGCCTTAGGGTTTAGGGTTTAGGGTTTAGGGTGTAGGGTTTAGGGTTTAGGGTTTAGGGTTTGCTGTGATAGGGCGTAGATGCTGTGAAGGTTCGGTTTCGGAACAAGCTCGAAAGCTTCGTGAGGTGCGAAACGCAGCATTGGCCCGATTAACACTTTTCTCCCACCCCACGCCGTCCAAGGCGGCAAAGCCACCCAAACCTATTCCTTTTAGGGCTTAGGCCTGAACTCAGACAACAGCCCACTTCTAAAAACCTTAGGCAGCTTCAGGGAGGGTTGCAGCAAGTTTCAGAGGGGCGGGCTCGGCCAGGCACCCAGTCAGGGACCCAGCCGGCTGTGAGTGGGAGGGGGGGCCAGGGAGCCAGGCACCCACCCTGCCTGGACCAGCCTGAGACCTCCTGGTCCCTTGGACACGCTGCGGCGAGGGGGTCCGGGTCCTCCTGTTCTGGGGCCCTGGGTTACCCCTGCGAGAATGCCAGCCACCTTCTGGCACAAGTGCTTGGGGTTTAGGGTAATTGCTTTATTATAAGGGACCAGTCCGGTCCCGAACAGAACGTGTTCCGCCCTACCGACCCCCATGCTGTGGGAGGCGGGCGAGCGACCTGGGGCGGCTTGTGCCATCGAGGTCAAAGGGCTTAAGCGCCCCCCAACGTAGGGGGGCGGCCTAGGCCCTGAGTTTAGGGTTTAGGGTTTAGGGCGCATTGGCTTCTGCTTCCTAGAGAGTGATAGGGTGGATAGCTATTGTGTACGGCTACTGTTTGCTGAAACACCGGTTTACCGGTAAGGTTTACAACCCAAGCCGCCCCCGAGATCGTAAATTCTAAGCTCTGAAATCCTGATCTCCGAGGCTTACAGGGTTTGGGGTTGAGGGTTTAGGGTTTAGGGTCTAGGGTTTAGGGTGTAGTGGTTTAGGGTTTGGGGTTGAGGGTTTAGGGTTTGAGGTTTAGGGTGTAGGGTATGCTTCTGCAATGCCAAGGCTACAAGACGCCGGTGCAGAAGCTTTTTGGATGCTTGGCTGAGAGGCTGCCAAAGGTCCCGGACATAGCTTTGTTAGCCCCACTTCATGACTTAGGGTTGGTTTCTGCATTGAGTGGTCTCATTTAGGAGTCCTGCTTTTTATAGGAAGCAAGGACCTACTCATCCAGGCATGCCCATGCCCAGCAGGTAAAATTCATCTTGTGCATAGACTCCATAAACCCGGCAAAGCCATGCACAGTCCCGAAGCCATGAGCCTTAAGTCCAGAAGGCCAGCCAAGAAAGGCGTCACGTAATGTGGCATGAGTGGTTCGCGGAGCTGTCAAAGCCTTCATAAGCTGACAGGCTTCTTAAACCCTCAAAAATCCTAAGCCGAAAGTCGACATCCTCCGCGGTTGAGGTGACGGCATCCCACTGCAGTGCTTCTTCTCTGGGCACAACGCTTGCATGCCTGACACCTTGATGCACTTGGGGTCGATTCGGGTTTGGGTTCGGGGTCAGTTGGGGGGGATTCTGCTTTCGCGGAACTTGCTAATTGTCAACCACCAAACGAAGAAGTTCGTAGTATGCTTTTGCTGTGGGCAAGACCTGACCCTCCGGCCTGCAGACAGAAGGCCGGCAGGGCGTGTGTTGGGGGCACGCCAGCTCAGAGCACAGCAAAGCACGCTTCATGCACACGAGCAGCACTCGCCATCACGAAGGAGAGTTTGAGAAGGTTTAGGGTTTAGGGTTTAGGGTTTAGGGTTTAGGGCTTAGGGTTTAGGGTTTAGGGTTCAGGGTTCAGGGTTTAGGGTTTCAAAGCTTTGGGATCCCTAAAGCCCTAAGCCCAAATCCAAGATTCTAAACCCTAAACTGCCATTCTGAAACTAAGGGGTGAAAGGGTACCCCAAACGGGCTTACCCAGAATTTAGTAGGGTTAGTAGGGTTAGTCGGGTTAGTGGGGTTAGAAGGGTTAGTCGGGTTGGAAGGGTTTGTAGGGTTTGGGGTTTAGGGTTTTGGGGGTTTGGGGTGTAGGGTTTAATTAGGGTTTAGGTTTTAGGTTTTGGAGTTGCGTTGAATTGGGGACTCCTTGCAGAGTTGCCGATGCCATTGTTGCGTTTAGGGCTTAGGGCTTAGGGCTTAGGGTTTAGGGTTTAGGGTTTAGGGTTTAGGGTTTAGGGTTTAGGGTTTAGGGTTTAGGGTTTAGGGTTTGGGGTTTGGGGTTTGGGGTTTAGGGTTTAGGGTTTCAGGCAGCTCCCTGGACCGAAATGCCCCCCCGCAAGGACTGCACCAACACTTCCGCGCCTTGCGAGTTTCCGGAGCGCCTTTGGGGGAGCTTTGGGCTTTGGAGGGTTTAGGGTTTCAGGCTTTAGGGTTTAGGGTTTAGGGCTTAGGGTTTTTAGGACTGAGGTTCATACTAGGATTTACGGGGCTTAGGTGGTTGCGGGCAGGAAAGGGCCAGGAGTCGGGGGGGTTGTGTGATGAGGGCCTTGGGGGGTGGGATTTGGGTGAACGGGTCTGCCATAAGCTGCTAGAGTCAGAGTATGGAATGCCTTGGGATCATGCACCTTGCGAATTCCGCTTTCACGAGCTCAGGGTATCTTCGCTAAACGAGAGCGGATGAACCCGATGGATTTAGGATTTAGGACTTAGGATTTAGGGTTTAGGGTTTAGGGTCTAGGGTTTAGGGTTTAGGGTTTAGGGTTTAGGGTTTAGGGTTTAGGGAGATGAAGGGGTTTAGGGTTCAGGCCTTACCCGCGAAGCTCAGACCTCAAACCACCCCAACTGTCACTGTTGGTGCCTGTGGGCTCCAGGGCCGGAGGGTTTGCGGGGATTTCGTGTCGTGGGGGGGGGGGGGTTAGGGTTTAGGGTGTAGGGTTTAGGGTTTAGGGATTAGGGTTTAGGGTTTAGGGTTTATTTGGGGGGAGGGGGGGGGTCTTAGGGTTTAGGGAACGTAAGATTTCTGGGCGCCGGGTTCAGAACATGTTCTCTGGCACTTACAGCTGTCCGCAATCCATGGTCAACATGAAGCACTGTTGCTTTGGAGGCAGCAGGGACATGAGAAGCCAAGTAAAGGGGAGGGCAAAGGTCAGAGCGCGGATGCAGAAACAACGTACTGTTGGTTCGTGGGGAATTCATGGGGTAATGGGGTGCCCGATATCATCCTTTAAAGGGTATTTCTAGGGCCCGAATTCTGCCACAGTAAGACAATGCGCAGGACGACTTCGTTCACGTGGATTGAGACCCCCTGGCCGACGTGGCCAAAGGCTGCGTGACGCAGGCGTCTTGCTTGGAGCAAGGGTTTGCAGCAAACTGGGGCTACAGGGGCTCTTTCACAACAAAACCTTAACTTAGCCAGGAACTCTTATCTTGCTGAAAGGGGATCTCCGGCGCCTCTTACAATCTGTCATGTCGGGCCCCAGGCCCTCAGCCCTACATAGATCCCTAGACTCCATACTATCATGACAGCGAATCAGGTGCTCAGGCAAACTACAAAGTGGGTTAAGGGAGGCCCTAAAGCCAATCGCGCTGCAGGACTGCACCGGCGTGTTGCTTTCCCCGCGCCGCCGGGGCGTCCGGCACTTAGCAGTTTTTAGGATTTGCAGTTTAGGGTTTAAGTTTCGAGGTTTGGGCTTAGGAGCTACAGTAAGTAAGAGTGAGCCATGCCTGTGTCAGCCAACTTGAGAGAAGGACTGGGGATATTCTCTAGAGATTCTCCGAGAGAACTTGAGGTTGCCCGAGTTCGAAGGAAAACCACGAGGTCAAATCCATCATGCACTTTGGCCGGCGTTTGGGCGTCTCCAGTCTTATTTCCACTACTTCCACCCGAGCCGATCTGTTGCGGGACTTCTTTCTGTGCGTTCCTTACTAGGGTTGGTTGAGGGTCGTTTGTTCGCCTTGTTTGTGTTTAGGGGCTGGTTGGAAGGACAGGAGGCGATCTATTACGGCACTTCTGTCTTTGCCTTTTTGCATTAGAGGTTGTTTGTTAAGCCCCGTAAAGCCTCATTTGCGTCCACTTTTGCGGTCAGACCCCTATATAAGCCCCCTATATAAGCCCCCTACGCCCCCCAAGCGCCCTGAAGCCTAATTTTCGTCCACTTTGCCTTTAGCGCCAAGCCTCGGAGGCCTCCTCAGGCCCCAAAAGGCCACAAGTATTCTTCCACTTTTGTGGCAAGATGCTGCCTGGATCTGTGCGGTGCTGTCTTCTTCCGAGACGTGACGCGTAGATCCAGGCGGATTTCGTCCCAAGAATGGTAGGACAAAATGTGCATGCACCTATGCGGTGCTGTTCTCTTCCCAGACGTGGCGCTTAGATCCAGGCAGAGTCTGTCCATCATGTTTTCTGACAAGAATGGTTGGACAATTTCTGCCTGGATCTAATGCGGTGCTGTTTTCTTCCCAAGAAACCCTTGATGATTCCCTGCTTCGAGGCTTTACCACCTTCGAACTTCCCGCCGAGGGTGGGCTACGAAGACATGCCCCTTGGGTCACGATGTCTTTCTTCAAGTTAGAACATAGTCTTAACACAACGAAGAGCTCAGAGCCACCAGTTGCAGACCATTTTGATACTAGTAATACTAAGGTACTTGTACTAGTACTAGCTTAGTACTATTAGTAGCACTAGTACTAGTATTGGTACTAGTAGTAGTGGTACTGCCACTACTAAGACTAGTAATAGTGCTAGTAGTACCTGTACTGGTACTTTTACTATAGTACTAGTACTACTTGGGAAGAAAACAGCACCGCGTAGATCCGACAGATTCTCGTCCAACCATCTTTGTCAGAAACCATGATGGACAAAATCTGCCTGGATCAACGCGCAATGTCTGGATGAAAACAGCACCGCGTAGATCCAGGCAGATTTTGTAACACCATTTTTGTCAGAAACATGATGGACAAAATCTGCCTGGATCTACACTCCACTGGCTGGAAGAATGACTGATTACATGCACCCTAAAGCCTAAAACCCTAAAGTCCTAAAGCTTTTCAAGCGCTCGTCCCCGCATGCTGAGGACATCGATGGCCTCGAGTGCCACGCAGAAGGCGGTACTCTGGTCGACAGTGCGTGGATCTCGGCCCTAAACCCCTAAACCTCTAAACCCGAAACCCCTAAACCCCTGAACCCTAAACCGGGGCGGTAAAAGGGTAAAGGGTTTGGGGTTTAGGCTCTTCGGGTTTCGGGCTTAGGGCTTGGTTTTCAGGCTCAGGGTTTTCGAAGTTTTGAGAGTTGAGGGGTTCCGGGGGTTTGGGTATAGGTGGTTAGGGGTTCAGGGGGCGTAGGGCTTTCAGCGCTTTTCGGCATTCAGCGTTTTCAGGCCTCGGGCTGGCGCGGCTACATATCTGGGTTCAAGCCCATTATGATAGGGATCCGCCTCCTCCGCTCCCTCAACCAGCAAGTAGAGGGCGCTTTTTTAGAGCTCAGGGTTGAGGGTTTAGGGTCAGTATTCGAATATTATGATGTAGAAAATAGTGAATCATTAAAACAAGTAGGGTGCCCAAATAGCAACTCCATCGTCTCTTCGAGTTCGACGGCTGCCCGTGATCTTCGGTGTTGGAGGAGCCCTAAACCCCAAACACTAAACCCTAAACCATGAAACCCTAAGCCCTTAACCCATAAACCCTAAACCCTAAGCCCTAAGCCCGAAGCCCTAAGCCCTAAGCCCGAAGCCCTAAGCCCTAAGCCCTAAGCCCCAAGCCCCAAGCCCCAAGCCCCAAGCCGGCGTGGGCTACGCCCATCCCCTATGGGAGAGCTTGCAGAAACTCAAGCGCAAGCATTGTCATGGCAAGGGAGGTGGTACTTAATTGCCACGCTATTATTTCTACTACTACTTCTGCTGCTACTGCTAGTCGTAGTAGTAGTAGTAGTAGTAGTAGTAGTACTACTACTACTACTACTACTACTACTACTACTACTACTACTACTACTACTACTACTACTACTACTACTACTACTACTGCTACTGCTACTGCTACTGCTACTGCTACTGCTACTGCTACTGCTACTGCTACTGCTACTGCTACTGCTACTGCTACTGCTACGACTACTACTACTACTACGACGACGACGACGACTACTACTCCCAAACCCCTAACCCCTAGACCCCATAAACCCTCACCTCGGGGGAGTGGCGCCGCCCAGGACGAGCTGGCGGCGGCGGCGCACGTGCTGGGCGGCTGCACGGGCGGAGACAAGGACCGGTCTGAAGTGCCGAATGCCTTCGGGGGCTACCATGGCTACGGGAGCAGGGTTTAGGGTTTAGGGTTGAGGGTTTAGGGTTTAGGGTTTAGGGGGAGCAGGGTTGGGGGAGCCTGACGGATCTTCGGATCGTCAGTTTAGGGTTTAGGGCATTGAGGGGATTTGGGGCTTTTGGGGTTTCAGGGGCCTGGACAACTCAATCTTCCTCAAGGGGTGGTCCAAAGTTGGGCTGGCGTCACCGATACCCCGGTCTTAGCACACTTGGACCCTCATGCCTCTTAGTTATTATCCCTTGCCTTAACAGAAAAGGGACCCTCTGGGTAGATTTGTTGTTTTGTGTGTCTTCTAATTTCAGGGGCGCAGAGTTTAGGGTTTCCGCCAAACACCAAGCCTGCAGTCACAGAGAGTATGCAAGAGAGTGTGCGAAGGCTGGATCCAGAGTCGTTGAAAAAGGACGATCAGTGGAAAGCTTTGACGCCTGCCCTGGATGCGCATGAGGATATGGCTGCGGAAGTCTCAAGGGAGCTGCAAGTGGCAGTCGGGGCGCATCGCCAGTGTGGTATGATGTCTTTCCGTGATGGCTGTGGTCTGGTGCCGGGGGGGCCAAGATGGAGTTGACCTCAACCGTTACAGGCAGTAAACCCTAAACCCTAAACCCTAAACCCTAAACCCTAAATGTCTGCTGTGCTACGAAAGCAGATGATGAGTCCCTCACCGACCAAGCCATCCTTCCACTGGCTTTTCCGCCCATGGGAGACCCGCTGGAGTATCAGATCCAGTGCAATTTCATGCAGCACGGACGAGCGTTCGTGGATGATGGGCAGGCTCGGGCACTTATATCTGAGCGTTTACTGCAGGAGGACATCGAGTCGACTAATTGCTCCTACCAGGAGGCAGCCCAGGAGAAGCCGGAAGAGGTATGATTCCCACGGCCAGCAGTGACAAGTCTACGTGCGGCCATGATGATGTGGCGCAAGTGAAGAGAAGCATACAGTTTCTGTACGAGGAACGCATCCGGGCTGAGTGGCGAGCAGTAGAAAGGCGTTGGGACGAGGACCCAGCGCAGACAAAAGCAAGAAGCACAAAAAACAAGAAGCTCCGAAAAAAATCGGCGCAACAAGTAGAGCAAAAGCGTGCAGAGAGAGATGTAAGGAAAATCGCTGCGCGGCAAAAACTGAAGACGTTCGTCAAAGACATCGAGCAGAAGATCTTCAAGAACCGACACATCGCAAGGCTGCTCAACACAGCCGACAGACGCGGACTCCTGGGTGGTTACATGAAAAGCCACATGAAAGGATCACATTTACATGTAAGCCTCCGAGATGCAGTAGGCACTGCAACTTTGGTAAGGGCGCATGGGCATCTTGACGCCACCACGAAGAAATTTGTGGTACGGAAGCAGCTGCTTGCAGGGTTAGAGAGAGCTGAAGCAATGGAGCAGCGAGCCTGTGTAAAATGAACTCCCATCGGTCCTTTTCAACTTGGGAGCGCTGCAAGCTTGCACGCGCCTGCTGCGCGCTTTAAACCCTAAACCCTAAACCCTAAACCCTAAACCCTAAACCCTAAGCCCTGGCTTTGAACCCTTACAAATCAACCCTCGGACCCCTCAACTTGCGAGTGCTCAGAGCTGGCAGAGGCATTTCGATGCAGGTTACCTGGGTTCCGGTTTAGGGTTTAGGGTTTAGGGTTTAGGGTTTAGGGTTTAGGGTTTAGGGTTTAGGGTTTAGGGTTTAGGGTTTAGGGTTTAGGGTTTAGAGATTAGGGTTTAAGGGTTTAGGGTTTAGAGTTTACGGAGAACGCAATAGACGATACGGTTTCCTGGCTCCAGAGGTGCACGGAGCGCATGAAGCTCTTCGGGTCTACTCCTTGGTAGCCCTGTGGTACCCTTTTAAACCCTTTTTTGATTCTGGGTTCCCTTATAAAGTAACGAGCCCAAGAAAGGGTTATGATACGGTTTGCTGGGCTACCAAGACTCAAATGCCAGTGATCTTTGCGGGGCCCACTGGACATGCAAGCAACCTGCCATGGTGCCTTAAGGGAGCCTCTTGCAAGGGTTTAGGGTTTAGGGTTTAGGGTTACTCTAGGGTTTAGGGCGATGACCTCAGGCGTTGGTCTAGGGTTTAGGGTTGGAGCACGCACTTGCGGTCCGGGCCAATCAGGCCCTCGATAGAAGCACGCCCTGAGGTGCGCCCGGTTCAGGGGCTTATGAGGGCTTCGGGGGTTTAGGGTTTAGGGTTTAGGGTTTAGATGCCTTCCGAGCAAGCCCCGAAGCCGGAGGACCAAGAGCTCTTCTTACGATGTGCGGCCTTGGCCTTGGCCAAGGCTGTGGATGGGACGTGGGTCTAGGGATTTAGGGTTTAGGGGTTTAGGGGTTTAGGAGTTTAGGGGTTTAGGGGTTTAGGGGTTTAGGGGTTAGGGGTTTAGGGAATTAGGGGTTTAGGAGTTGAGGGTTTAGGGTTTAGGTTTCGGGTTGCCCAGAAACCAACACATGGGGGTTTCCGAATTGCAGGGAACCTTATTGGAGTGCTTATTTCAAAGGAATCCTCTATTAGGGGGGTCTATATTTAGGGTCGCTTGTTTTCGTAAACCCCCGTATAAAATGTAAGGATCCTACAAACAGGGGTTTTTTTGGAATCCTCCTTATCGGGGCCCGTATACCCCAATGGTAGGATTCCTAGGGGATCGGGGTTCAGTCTTGGGAGTTCGTTTGGGTTTTCGAGCTTGCAATCGGCCTCTGGCGTTTAGATTCCCGCCACGTGCTATCCCGGTTGTTGCTAGGTTTTCGGCCGCTAACCCCTAAACCCTCAACCCTAAACCCTAAACACCAAACCTTCCTTTTCTGCTAGGAGGCCCGAGATCCAAGAGACGAAAGCCCTAAGTGATGAGCCCTTGTGGTTTCGAGCGTCCTTCTTGGCGGGCTGGTTGTTGCCTGCTTAATTGCCTGTTGGATGGACCATTGGGCAATACCCGGGCTTCTACACCCCCAAAAAAGTTTCACACAGACACGCACACACACACACACACACTCACACACACACACACCCACACGCACGCACACACACGCACACACACGCACGCACGCACGCACGCACGCACGCACGCACGCACGCACGCACGCACGCACGCACGCACGCACACACGCACACACGCACACGCACACACACGCACACACACACGCACACACGCACACCCGCGCGCGTATGTATACATAGGTATTGTTACCTGTACAGAGATACACATGCTAGACAGCAACCCCAACAAGGGGCCACAATATGAAGAGTTGTACTCTCTTCGGCTGGGAAACCAAGGGCCTGGAGACCGGGCTTGAGATTAAGGGTTTAGGGTTTAGGGTTGAGGGATTAAACTTGCAGCTAGGGAGTCTCCATGCTCACAAGTCTGCTATGGCCTTATACTACTATAGTACTCATGTTTGATTCATTTACTCCCATATAGATTCCAGATTCCAAGGACCCGAGAACTCCCCTCAAAACCCCCAAAACCCTAAAACCCTGGAGGAGTGAACCCAGAAGCTCCAATACAGGTTAATAAATTTATACTCCAAATAATTCCCAACAGCCGAAGGGTTGGGCGTCTGTATTTTACGCCCTCAACCTCAGAAGACTTAAGGGTTCAGGGGCCTAGTGTTTCCACAGCGTTTTCAAGAGCAAATCCCCAAAGCCCTAAACTCGCTAGTCTGCTCGGCAGGAAGACGACGACTTCCTGTGGAAGGGGACTCGGCAGCGCCACACGGAAGCCTGTGAAGGGCTGACGTGTCTCAGGTTGTGAATTAGGGTTTAGGGCTTAGGGTTTAGGGTTTAGGGTTTAGGGTTTAGGGTTCTCAGGTTCACAGTCAGCCCTCCGCAGTGGGATGTGGACGTTAGTCGCCGTAGGCATGGTCATGTGCTTACGACTCCTTTGCTGGAGTCGCAGCCTGTCGAAAAGCCTGGCAGACCCCAGGGGCAGTTTGCAGAGATCATCCGGCTTATCTGAAAGACCTTTCGTGCACATGTTGCTTTGCAGGGCAAGAGCACACGGGCTGTTCTAAATTGGCTCCCTTTGGGGGGGTGGGTCCTGCTGTAAAGGGGGCTCCAGTTGCTAAAAGCTAACCCCAAAACAGAGCAAGTCAGCGCCCCGAGACCTTTCAACCCTGATATTGCGATTACCCCCGCAAGCACTGTGAGTCTCTCGAGTAGGGATTATGGTTTCAGGGCTAACAGGTTGTTCGTGAGAGGATGCCTATCAACAAGCATGTAGGTTAGAATCGGAAGTGCTTGTTTAGAAGTTGAACGAGCTATGGCAACTCCTGCTTCAGTCAGAGAGTAAACTGCCTGCAGAGAGATGGTCACTTCCGCAAATGGGGTCCTTATTACAAGGCCTCTTAATTGAGGGTAACCAAAGAGGGACCATAGTTTCGAGAACTCACCATATCGCAACAAGAACAAGGTTGTGCGAATATCAAAGTGCAGTAACCCTAAACCCAAAACCCTTAACCCTAAACCCTACGCCCTAAGCCCTAAACCCTAAACCGGTATCTGAGCCAACTTGCAATTTTTTGCACCTGCCATCCCGGCCCCACCCCTGACCCCCACCACCGCTTACCCATTACATGTTACAGGTCTGTATCATACATTGTATGTTTTAACAATTGTATGCTAAATATCATTTTGTACACTGTATACCTATATCTGTATATATATATATGTGTATATATGGTAGCATTATATGTATATATATATATACATATGTATATGTATATATATATATATGCATACGTATATGCATATGTATATGTATATGTATATGTATATCGTATTTTATATCACACACACGATACCACAAACTTTACGCTGAGTCTTTCGCCGGCGTGTTAGCAGCCTTCCCGGCTCATAGTGCCGAAGGAACTAGGGTTTAGGGTTTCGGGTTTAGGGTTTAGGGTTTAGGGTTTAGGTTTAGTGCTGGTGTGAACCAGCAGGCTGAGCAAAAGAACCCAGTGGAGTGATCAATTCCCTGGCTTCTAAATCCCCAGCTGACATGGCTCACACAAACGCGGAGTGACTCTTTTACACACGGCAAACAACAGAAAGAAAGACCTGAAGATCTGTGACGTCTGAACTACTTAGACTACGGCACCTACAGGCTAAATGCTGTAAATGCTTGAAAGACATGCTCATGACCCTACTGTGCTTGGGCCTGCATGAGCAACACGACAAAGTTTAAACTACCTGACGGGCCTGCTTAAGAGGAATACGCTTCAACACTCCTCCTTCGCGGCCTCGCCAGGGGACAGCGACCTACACTACCCTACTCCTCTGCAGGTCCTGCCCGTCAGGGTGGAGATTGCTCCCTACCCTATGGCGCTCAGAGCAAACTGCAAATTGCAGTGCAAAAGAGGAAAAACTTGGCATGAATGCGCGATGCGATGCACATCCTGCCCGTCAGGGCGGAGTAGTACCTACCCTGTGCTATGCGTGGTGTGATCTGGTGCACGCCGGTGGCACCGCTGACACACCTCAAATGTGCAAGGATTGGATGACCTTGCAATTGCAGGACAGTCCTTGGTGCGATGGAGCTTCTCCCCCTCAGGGACAGCAAAGTAACGAGTTGGCGCTCCAGCTTCTGGCTGCCTGCGTGCGGAAAGTTCGGCCTCGATTGCTTGGGCCGTTCGGTCACGAAGGCGTTGCAATTTCCTCTGCTTGGCAGTGCTGTGGATTCGGCAAAGAGAGTGGCGTCTCAGGCACCACTTGGCAAGCTCCCGCACGGCAATAAAACCAATGCCTACAAAACCCACAAGCAACATGAACATGAGATCCGTGCTTAATTCAACCTGATGTACATCTCCCTCCTCTTCATCAACGAGCTCAGGCTGACACTTGGCACTTTGGATCTGCACCATTGCAAGCAATAGGAAAAGCAACTTGATCTGCGGATACTGAGGGTGGGTAGGCAGGTCGGCAGCCACAGCTTCCGCTTGGCGGGGGTCCTCTGGACAGTGCTCGAACAAACCCCAAATGGTTGCGAGCTCGAGGATCCTCGCTGCAGGAAGCGCTTTCGTGAGGAGGTCTGCAGCCTGCTCCACACCAGGGCAGTAAACGGGGATTATCTCTCCTGCCTCATACTGCTCTCGCAAATAGTTGGCGCGCACCTTCAAGTGGCGGGTTCGCCAAGACCCTTGGCCAATGGCGATAGCAAGCGCAGACTGAGAGTCAACCTTCAAGGTCTTACCCAAGTTAAAGACCCCAAACTCACCCAGCATGGCCTCTGCTGACTGTAGTGCAACGACGGCATCAAGTCCTGCGACGAGCTCGGACTCTGCAGTGCTGAGTGTGACAAACGACTGCCTAGCGGAACGCCAACAGACAGGAGAGCCGTAGAGGAAGACAACCCAACCAGTGTGCGAGCGATTGCCGTCTGGCGCAAAAGAGGCATCGCTGTATGCAACTAAGCCCGTGTCATCTGCGTCAGCAGTGAGAGCAAAGGCTTTGGTTTGCTGCACGTATGCAAGTGCCCTTTCAGCGATGCGTGCAGCCCTTTCGGGCGCCTTTGTGCTCAACGTAGCAAGGACACAAGCGGTGAACGCGAGATCCGGCCTCGTTCGCTGGCTCAGCCACAAGATTTCTCCGGTCAGCCTCTGGGCTGTACGAACTGACTCCTCGGTGGGCGCCTCATCCGTCAGGAGAGTGTCAAAGGACACCAAGTCTCTTGGGCAAGGGATCTTCCCCAGCGCAGTGGGCTTGACGTTGTTGAGGCGTAGCAGCTCCTCTGCGTAGGCCTGCTGCGACAGAACAAACCCTAAACCCTGCACTAGGATCTCAACCCCTAGAAACCTTAACGGCTGGTGCGGCGTGGCAAGTGTGAGGGGCGTCGTTTTCCAGATCGACTGGATAGCCTTAGCGAGAGCCTCGATGACTTCAGCACATCCAGCAAGTAGGAAGTCATCAACGTAGGTGATTAAACCTCCCACGACTTGACCATCACTGGTTTGCACGACGCGCCACCAGTTCGTGTCTAACTTGCCCCTGAGTAGCTGCAGCTCAACCCCGTTGGCCATGCATCTAAGGTTAAGAAGCTGAGAGTCCCTAAAGTCTGACCACAGCTTTGGTGACTCCCTGAGTCCATAGACGGCGTGTGTGAGGATCCAAAGCTCTCCCTCGTGCGCAAGACCTTGCCGCACAAGGTAGCGCGGCGGCGTTAGGGCAAACACAGGAAACCCGTCACCCTGGGGAATGGGCGTGAGGAGGAACGCTGAGGTTACATCCAAGATGCCTAGCCTCCAACCCCTCTTAGAGCTGATGACCACCAAACAACGAAGTGACTCTGCTGCAGCACCTGACGCGTATATTTCGGTGCCAGTGGAAGGGGCATGGTTTCCACACGCAACAAGCCTCGCCTTGCGTTTGAACAAGCTTGCCTGGGTTGCGTGCTCCCCGTTCCCGGGCGCGGTGGTTTGCACGTCAGGAGGCTTAACAGTGAAAACCAGCTTTGCCGGCACAACCCTCACGTCAGTGCGGTGAAGCCAGTTCCCTTTGCGCACCTCGCTAGGCGGCAAACGGTGCACAGCTTTTTCTATGACCCCGATCTCTTTCAGGATTGACGGGATCCACACTTCACTGTGCTTTTCCGCCTCTCGCGGGTCGACAGTATGAACTATCTGCAGTGGCTCAGTTAAACCACTGAGCAGCTGTTCAATGTCTAGAGTGTACACTGGCTCGGACTTGCAAAGACGCAGGTCCAGGTCGTCAGACCGGAGTGCACGCAGTTGCTGGCCACTTTGGGGGTCTGGAAGCCACAGCTCCCACTGCACAGGCTGTTCTGGCCAGGACTCCTCCTCGACCTGCGCATGGGGTTTTGGCTCCAGGGTCTGCAGAACGCAAGGTGTCTGCTCGTGCTGCATCGGAGTGTGCTTGAGGTTCCACGAGACCTCTAGCTCTACAGTTCCAGCTTCTACCTTCTGAGCCTCTTTCCAACCCCCACCCTTCTCTACTTTCTTCGGGCAGTCTTCACCTGCTAGCTCTAAGGGACCCTGCTCGAACATGTCAAACACGTCCAAGCGCCTGACATCTTGCTGCGTTGTGAGGGGCAAACGTGCTGAAGCAGGGAGCGGAAAGCCTAAGGACTCGAGGGCTTGGAGCTCAGACTCTGGCACCTTCCCTAAGGTGTTAACAGTGTAGGCTACGAGCACAACCCTTTCACCTTCAAAAGGGGTAGTGGCATGACGGCGTTTGGGGTCCAAGTAGAAGGGCTTACCTCTTTGCAGGCTGTGCGTTGTGCCCAACCACTTCTTTCCTGCACTGTCAACTCGTTGCTCAACAGAGCCGTAGATAACATCTCCTGCTCGCAGTTCTACCCACAAGTCTCCGCCTTCAGGAGGGAGTTTGAGTGGAAAGACTACATTGACAGACCCTTCTACATTGTTGTGGTCTGCATGCAAGGACATGGGGTTCGTATTGGAAAGCCAAAGACTCGTGAACTCGGCCTCTGGACTTGCGGACAGGAGCGTCGCGGCCATCAGCTCTGTGAGCCAGGGGTAAGAGTTTGTTGCACTCGTGGTGCCTACTACACCACCGTGTCGGTAAAGGCCGGCCTTAAGAGACTGCAGACGGCTGAACTGGACCAAGACCCACATGGCCTCTTCAAGGTCCCAGTCTTCAAGCAGTAACTCCTTTGCGAAACCCTCAAGGTCCACAACACTAAACCGACTGGCCCTAAACTCCTCCTCAACGGCTTCACATTGCTCAGGCGGACACTCACCGTCAGGCAGTGGGAACAGCAAAGACTTGCTAACTGCAGGGCTTGACTTCCCACGGAGTCGAGTGCGACTTGCAGGTGCGGGCACGCACTCACCTTCCGGCGGTGGAAGAGGAGGCGGTGGCAGAGGTGGCTCGCCAAGTGCTGGCTCGGACTTCCCACGCACACGCCTTGCCGGCTCGAGCGGCGCAGGCTCCCTCACATCGCCCTCAAACACGCGGTCTGGCATCTCTGGCGAATGGAGGCGTGAGCGCACATGGAGTGTTTGGAGGAAGCCGTTGCCTACTCCGTCGTTGCGTAGGACAATGTGGCCATCATTCACAGAAGGCGACAACCCCATGTACTTACCATCTACCCACCTATCCCCTAAGTCACCCCTAGAAGGTCCGTAAAACTTAAGTTTCACAGAGCACGGTGCCCCAAACGGAGCTGCAAGCTTGGACTTGAGGCCAAGCTGTTGCGCACGTTGCTGCGATGCCGCAGTGGCCATTGCACATGCCCACAGCTCTGTTCCAACTTCGGCCTGGGCGAGGAGCGTGCGCGCCCTAGCCTTTAACCAGCGGATGGTGTTCTCAGCTGCTCCGTTTTGCTGCGGCGTATCTCCTTCAGCTGTGGTGGTACGCACCCCGTGCTCGTGAAACCAAGCTCGGGTCCTTTTGTTAAAGAACTCCCGACTTCTATCCGAGTGGAAGCGCAGCACAGGAAGGTTCAATGAGCGAAGTTCAAGGAACACTTGTTGTAGCGCCTCTAGCACTGCCTCGCTCTTGTTTGTGTGCAGCGGAACAACAAACACCAACCTAGCTAGGCCTGGCGGAGCTTCAAACTCACACTTGGCCCTTTCCCAAGGGTGTTCTTCCTTGGGTTTGCTTGGTTTGGCCTTGGCCTTTGCGGCTGCTACGCGTAACGCGCCTGCTTCTTTACACGCGTCATTTTCAGACTCACTTGTAGGACAATATCCTAAACAATCCTCGGGCAGCGCATCCTTCCCGTCAGGGCGGTGGTCTGGCTCCGGCGGGCCTTCCACAACAACGTCGGCTAACTCGTCCTCCCCGCCAGGGTGGAGTAAAGGATCATCGAACCCATCAACCTGCGCTGGGTTGGGTTCGTCCTTTGTCCCTTGGAGTTTAGGAAAACGATAGGACGCTGCTAAAAAGTACCGGAACACGGGCGGATGTTTGCTCCTACCCTCGGGGTCTTTTGCAGGGACTCTGATGGGACCAGCCACGTCGGCAGACAGGCAATACACATCTGGATGTGTGACTCCTTGATGCCTACGGCCGGTGCCGGCGCCACGTACGCAAACTCCACAATCCCTACGGTATGGAACGTGGTTATTTTCTACATGTCGTTGCCAGTCCTCGGGCGTCATGCGGCATAGCTGGTAGCGGGGCCAACATTGCAACGCATGAACAACAGCTTGCACAAACTGCGGCGCCCACGCGGCTAAGTCCTTTGAGTCGCCTTTCCATGCCAGTGTAGGACACTCCTTCCGGAGGCCGTGCAAGCCCCTCAGGTCAGGAAGGTTGGTGCCGATGGTGGTTGGCTTTGTGGTTGCGTGTCCTAGGGCACCTTGGTCAAAATCGACTTCGAAAAGACCTGCCTCTAATGCATATGCACGCCACAAGTTTGTGTGCCAAAACGAGGGAACCTCACCAACCAACGAATGGCCAACAGGAAGATAGCGATCAACAGGCTGAGGTTGCTCAAGTAAGAATGCCACCTGCGACGAATGGTGCACGGACTGACGATGGACACGCCTTCCGGCCGTCGCTGTTGCATGCAAGAACAACATCCGAGCAAACAGCCCCGTGTCATTGTTCACCAACGCACGCTCACTAGCACTGAGATCGCTCAACCCATACGGCTCACTAGGGGACCTCACTGGCCTTGGGCCTCCAGGTTTATGCCGGAGAACAGACATAGTGCGACAAGGAGGGCCACCAATCACTGCTGCAATGCGCCCATCCTTCGCTGCTTTAAGCAGGAGTGCCCAAAGTGAAAGACGGTTCAAATCATGCGCTGCGCACTGAGTCACATCAAGCTCCAACACAACTGCGCCATCACGCTCAAGCCGTGCAAAGGTCTTATGAGGGCGCGGGCCTGCAAACAAGTGGACAATCCAATGCCTTGACTGCTGTAGCGCCTTCCTCCTCCTCCTGTTGAGGTTGGGCAAAGCACTGCGCAACATGTCCCACAATGACTCGTCGCCCGCATCACCTGAAGGGACCAAACCTCGCAACGCACAACGGGGAACATCAGTGAAGAACGGTGCATTTGCAACAGCGGCGTCACCTGAGCAGGAAACGCCATCACGGGCGTAGTCCATCAAGTGCTCCCACCAGCTCTTCTCAAGTGCAATCCTGGCCTGACGAATCCTGTCCCTGCCTTCCTCGGTGTGGCGCCTGAGCTGCTCAATTTCCGCCAGCTTTCTCTCCTCTAAGCGCGAAATCAACTCCAACGCCTTGGACTGCACAAGTTCCGGGCAACCATTGCGGACACGAAGCTTCAACTTCCGCCCGTCAGGGTGAAGGAGTTTGCAGCTGCCTGCGGACCACATAAGGGTGTAACCAAGTTGCTCCACAATTGCGCCCATGGGCACAATGGTTTGCGCGGAGCCATCCCTCCCGGGAGGCAAAAGCAGAGTGCCACTAGCAGTGAGTCTCATAGACGTGGTGTTCTCCCCCGCCAAACTCACCACCACTTGCGTAGCCTGCTCCCACTCCTCCTGGGATGATGCTGCCCTCATGGAGTGCGTGGCACCCGAGTCCACTAAGGCTAACAACTCCCCACCATCCCCAACCTCTAAGGATTGCACGTGCAGCACGGACGTTTCGGGGGAGCTCCTAGCTGGCTTTTCCTCACCCAAACCAAGGACTGCAAGGCGCTTGAGGGATGCATTTGGATGGGTTTGGGACGTACTGTTTGACGGTTGCGCTTCACTCGTGCCCGGGCTCACCTCAACCTGCCTCAAAGCCTTCACTGCCTCTTGCATAAAGGACTCTAGCGTAACAGGTTGACCATTCATGGTGATGGGCGTGGCCTGCACTGGCACCTGTGATGAGGCTGAAGCTGAAGACGATGCATCCTGTCCTCCCACTCCTCCTGGGCCCGATGCCTGGGGGGTGGTTTTGCGCATCGTGGGCTGCTCATGCGTTTTGGCCTCAGGTTTTGAACCCTTACCTAATGGGCAGTCCTTTGCACGGTGTTCCTCAGAACCACACACCAGGCACTTCTTGAAACGCTCGGCTTTCGAGAGCTCGGTCATGGAATGAGGGAACTTGCATTTGGGACCATTCCTGCAACCCTTCGGCGAGAGAAAGAACTTACACGGCTTACCACCTGCTCCTCCAGCACCCTTCCCCAGAGGTTGGTTTCCACCACCTGATGCTTCGGCTGCGGCATTTAATGCCTGGACCTTAGGATCTACCTTCTTAGGGTCTACCCCACCGGCCATAGTTTCAAACTCAGCCAACAAATGCCTGTGGTAGTCTAAAACCTCATCTCCCGACGGGTGAAGGTCAATGTGCAGTGCGCTGCGTACCACCTGAGTGCGAAACTGCACGTCTGGATTCCTGGCAATGTGCTGCGATGTCACAGTGGTCAACCCACGGGCCAAGATGGAGGGATCAGGAGCAACCATGCCACATTCCAAACAACGACGATGCCAACGACCCCAAGACCTCAGCAAACTCACTCCAGCAACCACGTCCTTAAACGGTGGTGGATCATGCAAGTTCCTGAGTATCAGGTCGCGCTCGTTGGTCCCACCTGGCTGGTAAATCGTATGTAGGCGAAACATGATGTGTGCTGCATTTTGCGTGGCTCTGCGTGCTACAATGTCGGCCTTCACGGACGCGTCCAACGAATCCAACAACATGGCACATGCTCTGGCATTCACACGCGACCACTTGCCCTCAACAATCTCTGTCCTGTCATCCGGGGCCACTCTCAACCGCTCCACGGGGGACGAAATGCTCCAACGGGCAAAGGCATCACGCGCTAACTGCAACACGCTTGTCCACCAAAGCTGCGATGAATCCGACACATCACTCATCAATCCACCAACCAACTCAAGCCAATCCTGAAACTCCAACGACCCACCTGACGGGTTGGGAGCAACAAGTTTGGGCAGTGTTGTGATGCCTGGTTTCACTGCTTCAGGGGCATCGTCACCTTTGACCTTGAGCTGATGAGCTTGCAAGCTTTGCAGCTGCTGCACCCCTAAAACCAGTGCATCCACTACGGAACTTGGCACCTCACGCGTGGCGGGCTGCTCATGTGGAGCTGCAGCGGCGGCTGAAACCTGAGGACCTTGAGTGTCGGGCACCTGCCCGACCCTCCCGGGCGGCGTTTGGCCTGCGGTGCTGGCAAAACCGCCTGAAACCTGAGGAGTTGCTGGAATCTGCCACAAACCCAGGTTCTCGGGCCGAGAATGTGGACTTGTGCCGGAATTGGCCCCTTCAGCCCTCATCTGCCGAGACCTGGGGTTTCGGGCTGGAAAGTGGGGTCTGGGCCAGAAGAGGCCCTGTGAGTACCTGGCACCTGTGCATCTTGGGCAGTACCTGGCACCTGTGCAACCTGGGCAGATTGAGCCATGGGCTCACGCACATGCCCAGCCCTTCCGGGTGGGGTTGCATTGCTGGGCAACCTTTGCGAACCCTGCAAACCCGACCACAAATTAGACCAAAACCCTGATGCAGACGCAGGCGCCCTCAATGCGTCCATCACCTGCAAGGTGGCATCCTGCACCTGATGGGCAAGAGATGGTGCTGGCAGAGGGGCCTCAACATGCGCATAAGCGGCAGTAGGGACTAGAGGTGGGCCACTTGGGGTCTGTGCTTGCATTGACACTACTTCCCGCATGGACCTCTCTCTCTGCTCACTCCTCTCAAGTAGCTGCCTCAACCTCTGATTCTCCACCTCCTGCGCCTGGGCTCTAGCCTCAAAACCTGCAAGCTGCCTGGCAACCTCTGCTTGAATTGCCTCTTGAGGGAGCGATGACGACTCGGTACGGCTTGAGGGGCGTTCAGGGGCTGCAGATCTAGGGTAAAGGAGTGGGGCCCGTTGCTCAAGCGCTTGCATGCGTTGCAGCAACTCGGCATTGAGTAATGGGGATTCCCTCCCGGGCCCGGGGCCAAAAGTGGTGGGTGTGCCGATTGAGTCCGGCTGCGGCGGCGAAGCACTTGACCCAACACTCCCATCTCCCAAAGCCCTCACCCTAGACACTGCTCCAGGGCTTGCACGTGTGTGGTGTGGTGGTGACTGGGCCTGCACCTCAGTCCTTGCCACACGGAAAAACTCAGAAACACGAGACATGAAAACACCAGGAATGCCTTCAACCATTTCGGAGATAGCGGGCAAACCCTGTGAACGTGGGGTCATGAACCCCTCAACTCCAGCGGTCTCACCAGTTGACCTTATGCCCCCCAAACCCCTGTCACCACCTTGGTCTGTAACCTGACGGTCGTCACCCAAGGTGTCCTGACGCAGGATGGTGTTGGCCTCTGGTCCTGGACTTCCGTCCGGAGGTTGCACTGCTTGTGGCATGCTTCGGGGCATACCGTGCAACATCCCACCCTCAGTGGTGGTCGACGCATGCTGCACGCCTTCTGCTGGGTCTATACTAGCACGCGCCCTTCCCGCAGCCATATCCACAAAACCCAAACCACCCTCAATGCCGGCGGTGGGTGCATCAGGTGTTGCGGAATGCATATGCTCTTGCAAACCATCCCTCCCGGGAGGTTGGGATGATTGCGGCATCACGGTGCCGTAGCCCTGCGTTGGGCTCATAACCTGCTGGTGTGAACCAGCAGGCTGAGCAAAAGAACCCAGCGGAGTGATCAATTCCCTGGCTTCTAAATCCCCAGCTGACATGGCTCACACAAACGCGGAGTGACTCTTTTACACACGGCAAACAACAGAAAGAAAGACCTGAAGATCTGTGACGTCTGAACTACTTAGACTACGGCACCTACAGGCTAAATGCTGTAAATGCTTGAAAGACATGCTCATGACCCTACTGTGCTTGGGCCTGCATGAGCAACACGACAAAGTTTAAACTACCTGACGGGCCTGCTTAAGAGGAATACGCTTCAACATTTAGGGTTTAGGGTGCCCCTTGCAGGAGGGACCCTTATAAGGGACCTTAGGGTTTGATTTCGGGCGGGTTATTTAGGGGCTACTTGGGTACATAGAGACCCTCATAAGGTATGTATAGGGGTTGTATAGGGGAATGAGATTCCTAGGTAGTATAAGGGCGACCCTTCAAAGGGAACCCTTCTTAAACCTCTTCTGGCTCTCTTAAAAAGGGACCTTATTCAGAGGGTCTATATCCCCAAGGGTCCCCCTAATCCCATCCCCTAAAGAATAAGAGTCCCTGCTAGGGGTCCCTCCTTATATCCCTTAAACTTTGGCACTTCGAGCCTCAGCGCCGTGCGGACAGAAGGGGAGCTGAGCCCCAAGGCCCGCTGTCAGGGGCTCTTTGCCTTTTCAGAAATCGTATGAACGCAAATACATTTGCTGTTTGCTTCTTCCTTCACAATTCTCAAGAAACGTCAGTAAAAGATGAGGACGCGCAGGAAGTCAACAGTTACAAGAATCGCATTTGGGTGAAATCTGATGGCCGTCGCAGGTTTCGGCAGGGGGTCCAGGGCTTCTGACTTGAAACACATGCGCTCTGGACTAAATGTAAGAGGCGGTATTGTGGCAAGGACTCCCAATACCTGATGTCATAAAACCCACCCTAAACCCTAAACCCTAAACCCTAAACCCTAAACCCTAAACCCTAAACCCTAAACCCTAAACCCTAAACCCTAAACCCTAAACCCTAAACCCTAAACCCTAAACCCTAAACCCTAAACCCTAAACAACAAACCCTTGTGAAAACCCACCTGTTTTGTCACCTGTATAGTGTGTAGCCGAGGTCACATCTCCTACAGATATACTCCTTCACTTTCATTTTCCAGGAACAGGGTTCTTTCTTCGGTTGTTAGTTTAGTTCTTTGAATTCCTGCAGGCCTTGGGCCCTAAGCCTGTAGCGCCGAAAACTAGGTTGCGCAGTCACCGCTCACCCAGCTTCCTTCAAAGCCCTAAACCCTCAACCCTAAACCCTAAACCCTAAACCCTAAACCCTAAGCCCTAAGCCCTAAACCCTAAACCTTAAACCCGAAACCCTGGAAGGGGCCCGAAACCTTGTTGGGTCCCATGCCTGCAGAGGCTCCGGGATGTCTCTACAAGTTCCGGACCAGGCCACGAGGGGCGAGGGCCCTTGAAGACAATGTCCATCCTAGCCCTAAACCCGAAACCCTAAACCCTAAACCCTGCACCCTAAACCCTAAACAACCCTAAACCCTAAACCCCGCACCCTCAGCCCTAAGACCTAAACCCTACACCCTGCAAACCACAAACCCGAAACCCAGGTCCGGGACATGGGGCCGAACTGGGGGCGGGTTTAGGGTTTAGGGTTCAGGTTTCAGGGTTCAGGGTTCAGGGTATAGGGTTTGGGGTTTGGGGTTCAAGGGGTCTAGAGCTATAGGGTTGAGGGTTAAAGGGTTTCGAGTTCTAGGGTTTCGAGTTTAGGGTTCAGAGCCATAGGGTTTAGGGCCTATAAGGAGCCTCAGACGCAGATGGTAGACTCCCTCACTCAACCTCGAATCCCCCCCCCCCGCCCTAAACCCAAAAGCTTAGACAGGGCCTTTCAGTTCTGAAGACTTCTTGGGCCGGCTGAAATCCTCTGATGAGTAGAAAAATGTCTGCCAGGTACTGGCCCGACTCACTGAGGAGCTTGATTGCCTGTGTGTGTGTGTGTGTGGTTTAAGAATATGGTTTAGGGATGCTCCGGGTTGAGCTTGAGGAAACTCCAGGGTTAAAGGTGAGGTCTTGGGATCGTGAGGCTTCCGATGCAGGTTTTAGAGTTTGTGGTTTACGGCTGGGGCTGAATACGGAAGCTTCCACGTTTCGAGTGAGGAAGATGAAAACTGCATTTGCCGTGGGAAAGCAACTTCCAGAAACAAAAAACATCTTCAGTTTTAAGTTGTTTGGACATTCCAACTGGAGAGTCGCCAATAGTTAGGGTTTAGGGTTTAGGGTTTAGGGTTTTAGGGTTTAGGGTTTAGGGTTTAGGGTTTAGGGTTTAGGGTTTAGGGTTTAGGGTTTAGGGTTTAGGGTTTAGGGTTTAGGGTTGTGTGTGTAGCTCCTCTTGGTTTATCCCAAACATTCTTCTTGTCTCGTAGAAGAAGGCACCATGGGACGAGTTAGCGGCAGGAATAGCAAAGCAACCACACGTACGGTAAAACAGCGACTATAGTCAAGAAGTGGCCCCGCAGTTTTGGAGACTTTCTGGGGTACATTCATACACACCCCAGGGCGCAGGGCCTGTTTGTCGGGCTTGGGGCGATCTACATAATCTTTTCTACGAGGGCCCCTGGCAAAAGAACGGCACCCCCTCGTTCTTTAAGGGTAGTGTCAGAGGCCCTCAAAGTGGTCCCTTACCTCCCTTAACGGGTTCTGAAATATGGGCACTTGGGTTTCATAGGGTAAAAAAAGGGGTGAAAAAGGGATCCGTTTTAAGGTCCCATAGCTAAGGGACCATGTAGCTACCCGAAGACATGCGGGTTTGGAATCTATAGGATATCGAGGAGCTCGGGGGCCTCTTGCGGGCCGACGATGATACACACCAGCGTGAGCAAGCGGCGGAGAGGATCACGACGGCCCTGTCTGAGTTGGCTCGCCCCCGGTCATGATTTTATGGGATGTCACAGACATCCCTCCCCCGCCTAAACCTTCACCCTAACCCCTAAACCCTAGACCCTAGACCCTAGACCCTAAACCCTAAACTTACAATAAATTCAAGCTGTGGTGTGCTGACCTTAAAGACTTTTTCGGTTTGTGGGCTAGGTAGGACTTGGATATGGTTTGTGAAGTTATTCGAAGTTCTGAACCAAGCTAAACCCTATATCCTGAAACCAGGACTCCTTGGGCTGGGCGGAACCATTTGCATGCCTCCTGACCAGCAAGCGTGACTCTTCTAGATGGTTTTCCTGTAGCTTCACCCCTAAAGCCTAAACCCAAAACCCTAAACACTGCGTTGTGTTTAGTGGTTAGGGCTGCTAGCCGCCTGGATCAAGATCTCATGGGCCCCTTTCTGGTGCTCTTCACCACAAGGAATATACAATTTCCGTACTGGATCAAGTTAGCCCACCCCCACCTCCCACAAAGCAATCCCAATCTTCAACCCTAGCGAAGCAGCGACGCTGCTGCAGATGTCCGGAGAATTTCGATCCAGAGCAATTTGATCCTTCGACAAAGGCAGCGCCCTAAACTGTGGTCACTGAAGACCCCAGGGTGCGCCTGAGAGGGCATGCCATTTCTCAATCCGAGAGTCTTGGATCCGGCCCATTCAGCTCGCTCCAGGTATGGCTCTTTCTCGAACGGGATGAGGACCAGAACTTCGGATTTGGATTTTGCTCTTGTTGGAGGCATGGAGAACGAGAGCGCTGTCTCCGTACTGCAGAGGCTTTGCTGCACCCTAAACCCCAAACCCAAACCCTAAACCCTAAACCCTAAACCCGAAGTGCACCGGGTGTACCTCTATTTTTGGGAAGTGCCCGGAGCTATTGTTTCGCAGTTCGGAAAGACCCGTCTCAGGAAATTCGCGGAATTCGCCGCTGACTTCGGCTTCGTCCAACATCACGAAGATTTTCCAGGCAGGTTCTAGGTTAGGGTTTAGGGTTTGGGGTTTAGGGTTTAGGGTTTGGGGTTTAGGGTTAGGGTTTAGGGTTGAGGTTGCTTAGGGTTTATGTCGGGGTGTCGACCAAGCGCATGCCATCCAGACCATGAGGGAGCTCAATGCATTCAATGCCTTCACAGGCCTTTGGGGTTCAGGATGCCCGAAACCCTAAAAAAACCCTAAACCCTAAACCCTAAACCCTAAAAACCCTAAACCCTAAACCCTAAACCCTAAACCCTAAAACCCTAAACCCCAGGGCTTAGAGGAGTTCAGGGTTCGAAGAGATTGAAGATTCGACTGGCAGGGTGTTCATAGTCGAAAAGCCGCCGAGCCTGCGTGCCTTTTTTGAGGTTAGGGTTTCGGGCTAAGGGCTTAGGCCTGTGGATCCAATCACAAATTCTGAATGCATACGCGTAGGGAAACTCGAACAGGTGGTTTTGGGGTTTTGGGTAGGATTTGAACATGTGTGCATGTGTAAACCTACACAGTATTCATAGAATATCCATCCCGTGCAAGAATGACCTCGACTTCTGCGACATCTTCGCCTACTCTCCCTCTACCTTCGGTACTCGAGCATGTACAAGACGTGCAGTCAACTTCACAGTACTTGTGCGCATGTGCCTGCGCGTGCGCGTGCATTGGTTTTTCAAGATACCTGCCCCCAAATCAACCATAAGCCAGGTCCCCTGTTCAGTACGCATTCCCCTTGTAGAACGGGAAGGGGATGATACTGAGGATGCTTTAGACTCTTTAGACTCCAGTATGAGGCATACCTACCACTCCTCAAGCTCACTGACCTCCAAGGACAACGTTGAGGCCAAGCAGTATCCGGGAACAGCGTTTTCTTTAGGGTGTTGAGTTGGGGGTGTTGCCGGGGGTTCGTTTCTTGTTGTGGGAAGTCCTGCGCCAGTACGTTCCCAATCCCAAACTCTAGACCCCTGATCAATGATTCAGGTGAGGTTCGATGGCTTGATTGGCCCCCACCCCCCCAACCTCCTCACAAACCCCCCCACCCCCCTCACCCCCACCCCCCCCCACCCACCCACCCCACCACCCCCCCACCCCACCCCACCCCCCACCCCCCCCCACCCCCCACCCCCACCCCCCACCCCCCCCACCCCCCCACCCCAACCCCCCAGCCCACCCCCCAGCCCCCACCCCCCAGCCCCCACCCCCCACCCCAATGTTGTTCCCCCTTTCAGTCCGCCGTAACTGTCCTCACTTTTGGACGTTTGGAGATTCGAGAGGAGCCTGGTAACTGCGGTACGCGACCTCACCCTTGGAAGCCCTACTCTTTTCAACGGGAACCCTTCTGCTCCCGCATTCGTAAGAAAAGGAAGCATCAGTTTGGAGACCGAACCATATATGCCTTCTCAATGATTTGGCCTCGAAGTGTCGTATGGCTCCTACAGTACGCCCAAAGCCCAGATCCTAAACACAAGAAGCCTGGGACCCGTTCTGTGTCTTCGGAAGATTGATCTCTGCGTCAACAACGAGCTGGGGATTCGAAATTCCCTGCTGCTCGATGCGACTCTCGGCCGGAAGCCCCACCTAGGGCTCTGTGTTTTTTCCTTTAATGGTGCCGGGTTCACATGAAATACCCGGGGCTACGACAGCAGCCTAGAACGAAGCCTAAACCCTCAGCTAATCTCTTCACAACTCTGCACTGCACAGGCAAGTCAGTCAGAGAAAGTTCATTCACAGAGGGCAATCCTAAGCCCTCGTCAGCTTCAGGCACAATGCGCTTGCCATTGCTTTCCTACTATTTGTTTAATTTAAGAACCCCCCCCCAAATGAACAAGATTCTTCCTAATAAGGGTCATATAGGGCTGATTATCTTTTGTTTTTTGGGGAGTTCTTAAGCATACAGTAGTTTCTGGGCAAGGCCTAAACCCTAAACCCTAAACCCTCAACCCCAAGGTACTGCAAGTACGACGTCCGTGTCCTCCAATTGGGATGCTTGATCAAGGACTGGGCCAAGAGGCATGAGATCGTTGGCACAGCTGATGGCTTCATGAACAGCTTCTTGGAGAGTTTAGGGTTAGGGTTTAGGTTTTAGGGATTAGGGTTTATTTGAGCCTTCCCAGCCCTCGACAGGAGCCATCCTGATTGTCAGGCACAGCTTGCTACAGCCCCTCCTAGAATCCTAAGTTTACGGCTACAGGGTTCAAGGTTTAACCCTAAACCCTAAAACCCTGAAACCCTAAAACCCCAAAACCCCAAAACCCTAAAACCCTAAAAGCCTAAACAGGGTTTAAAGTGCCGAAGAAGGCTACGCTTACCTCCTGCTGGTGGTGTTCTTTCTTCAGACGGTCGAGCCGCCAGTGGCCACCTGGTTTAAGGAGTTCACAGCATCGCCCTATACCCTAAACCCTAAACCCTAGACCCTAAACCCTAAACCCTAAACCCTAAACCCTAAACCCTAAACCCTAAACCCTAAACCCTAAACCCTAAACCCTAAACCCTAAACCCTAGACCCTAAACCCTAAACCCTAAAACCTACAGCTTCGGCAGATCTAGGGTTGAGGCCGTCAAGTCCGAGCTTAGGGTCCAGGGCTCAGGGGTTTAGAGTTCAGGGTTCTCTGCGTCCACGTTCCAGGTTTCGGGGCTCAAGGTTTCTAAGGGGCTCGGCAGTTTTCGTCGAGGTTCAGAAATCGTTGGACTCCTAAGAGAAGCACCGCTAGCATGTACAGGGTTGGGGAGTCTACCGGCTTTTTGTTTAGGGGTGTATGGCTTCGTTGTGTGGGGTGCGGGGTCTACATGGGAGGAACCCAACCCTCAAAGCCTCGAACCCCCTAAGCCCCCAAAGCTGCAGACCTTCTAAGCCCTAAACCCTAAACCCTAAACCCTAAACCCTAAACCCTAACCCTAAACCCTAACCCTAAACCCTAAACCCTAAACCCTAAACCCTAACCTTATAAGGCCTAAAGGCAAAAAGAGCTCGAAAACCTGATCCCAGGTGCCAAACTTACAGGCCCTGGACAGCGAATCCGTGCTGGTGGTCGACCGCACCTCTCGCGCAAACAGTGGAGCCCGAAAACCCCTACAATGGCTGTTAGTGCTTAGGGTTTAGGGTTTCGGGTTTCGGTTTAGGGTTTAGGTCTCGCCGTGCAGCGTGGGGCATACCACGCGAAGGTGCATGTTTCCCATGCAGTCCAACCTCCACAAGCTTTCTCCGGGGGCTCCAGAAAATTCAGAGCCCGCACCCTGCGAATGTCCAGAACACTTCAGGCGCGAGGGTGTAGTGTTTCGGGTTTAGGGAGGGTGTTTCAGAGGGGAGGGGGTAAACGGGGGTCCCAGCCAGACAGGTCCAGGGCATGCAGGCAGGCCCCCATCAAACGTCCCAACTGCGCTGACTCGAATGAGCGATTTGGGGATTCAGGCCCAGGCTTTCGGGCGGCACTGAAGTTTTCCCAAAGCAGGGCTCAGCCCAAGGGGCTGAATTCAGAATTCAGACACCCTAGAATAGAAAAGGGCCTACTAAGGCCGGGTGGTAATTTAGGGCTTAATGCCCTCAACCCTAAACCCTAAACCCTAAACCATTTTAGGGCTTAATGAGTATGGCCACTCAGCTCCTGGATTCAGTGTGTCAATCTGATCCGACCGATGGATCCATTTAATCTTTGGTCGCCATGATTCACAGCAGTAAATTACCAGCACTGGTATGACGCTATCGGAATGACCATTGTTATCCATGTTATATACAATTTGTCAGTTTATTTGTAGCTTCGGGTCCAGGGTACCGAAAGGTCGCAGGATTTAAGAACAACTTTCTGGTCTTCAGGTTAGGGCAGCCTAAATACAAGGCTCCGTAGGGACTCTGAAGCCGAGCGCAAGTTGTCAGGAAAATGGGGCGACGAATTCGTGTGGGAGACAAAGTTTTTCTCCAAGGCTCCACGCACCAGTTTAGGGTTTAGGGTCTAGGGTTTAGGGTTTAGGGTTTGGGGTTTAGGGTTTAGGGTTTAGGGTTTAGGGGCACCAATCTTTCCTTGGCAGACGCTTTGTCAGTGAGATTTTGGCTGTTTGAGGTAGATGAGCTGCACAAGTCGCAGAACACGATGTCCATCGGCACGCCTGCCAGTTTAGGGGTTTAGGGTTTAGGGTTTCTGCAGAACCTTCGAGCCCCTGTGAGGTGTCCTAGCCCTCAGTTTCGCAGCCTTGTGCGGCGAGGTGAGCTGCTACTCCGATTTTTCCAGTTCTACACCCAGAAGTTTGACTGGCGCCAACATGCGGTTTGCATCCGACTGCCCCTGCCTCAGTGTCGCATGCATGTTATCGATCTAGAAGATGCCTCTCAACCCTCCAGTCAAGAGCTGGAACTGTGAAGTCAAAGGAGTCGGAGGTTCCTAGGCTGAAATATCGCACCTAGCATTGTACGGTGCGAAAGCTTCAGCAATGTTTGGCTGGTAGCTGCCCTACACAACAAAGGTGTTGAACTTTGCTTGCCGCTTCCTGGTGTGCGTGCGCGAGTGTCTCTGTCCCTGTTTGTGTTTGTGTTTGTGCATGCGTGCGTGCGTGCCTGTAGCTTCGCATCGTTGAGTTTGACGTTGGCTACCTTTGGACAGACTGACCCACCTGCCGCTTTGTCACGAGCGGTGTGGTCAGCGCGCACATGAGCCTATCGAACCACAAATCGGAAAACCACACAGGCAGCGCAAAGGGTACTTGCAAGGAGCATAGATGGCACAATATCTGCGGTGTATATAGTGTATATATATATACACACGTACTCAGCAACATTCGGGGAGAGCGTTGTTAATGCAATGCAGCCCTGTACCACAGACATGGAGAATGACATTCGAGGTAACATCACGTCAGTCGGTCCGTCATGTTCGTAGTATGTCACTCAACTTCAGTTTCGCAGCAACAAACCAGACAAGCGGTTTCAAAGCTCCATATACTTCAGGGTTCGTGGCAGCTTTTCGTACTAGGGTTCACGCTTTGCCCTAAACCCTCCACCCTACATGCACAGAGGCAACGTCCGGGATGCAGCATCGACAAATACTCCTTGCCGCCTGGTCCACTCAGGGCGTCGGTGTCTGTTGTCGCCGTAGCGATTTAGGGTGTTGGGTTGAAGGTTTTGGGTTTGTGACGTTTGTCATGAAGAACCCAAAGGAATAGCCCCAACATTTTGTAACATGTATATTCAGGTAAGGAATGTCCGCGTTATAGCTATTTTTAGTGACTTACGAGCTTGCGACTAAGCATAGACTTGTATGCAAGCATGTCGGGTTAGGTGTAGGCTTCTTGCTTTTTACGGTTTAGAGACTTAAGGGGAACCCGAAAAAACAGGAAGCATCTGCAGTTCCAAGGGAGGCTTCCTGATTTTTGCAATATCGTCTGCGCTTGTACCTCGGAAGTTTCCCTTACAGGAGTTTTATAACCGGGCTGAAGCAAACTGGCAAACCTGTGTTTAAGAGGTGTTTCTGAACAGAAACTACGAGAGAAGTGAGTCTAAACCCTCTTCGTATCTCGGGCTGCGCCAAGGAAGCTGGAGACCGGTAGAGAGCAGTGGTACTTGGAGGACCCATTCGATCTCAAGCACAACCTGGCAGGCAAGTCAGCTAGGGTTTAGGGTTTAGGGTTTAGGGTTTAGGGTTTAGGGTTTAGGGTTTAGGGTTTAGGGTTTAGGGTTTAGGGTTTAGGGTTTAGGGTTTAGGGTCATGTAAGGTGTGAGGCGTGCACCTACCCTAGAATTCCCGAAGCCCTACTCAAGCCTTTTGCAACGGAAGGCTCTTGCAGCCGAGCTGGCAAACAGAGAATCGGCGACGTCATGCACAAGACCTTCACTTGGTTTCCTGGACCTAAACTTTGGGACTTTGGGATATGGAAATACTTTCTATGTTTTAGGCACTTTAATTCCTAAGAAACAGCAAAGATGAGAGTTTTTTTCGTGGTTTCCTGGACCCAAACCCAAAAGCCCCAATCCGCGAACCCAAGTATCAAGACTGAATCCTCATTCTCATATGGCTTTTCCCTAAGTTTCTATAGACCCTTTTGAGGTTTTTTGGGGTGGAGCATTGTTCCTTCGGGCCGAAAACCCCCCCAAGAATCCACAAACTCACGCCCCCCACATGAATTGGGCCCACAAGAACCCCGAGCCGGCCATCCTATGACCTTCAACCTTAAACCCTAAACCCTAAACCCTAAACCCTAAACCCTAAACCCTAAACCCTGAACTGTAAACCCTAAACCCTAAACCCTGAACTGTAACGGGGCTTCCCAGTTCGAACCCGGGCGCAAGGAGCTCTGACATTGATGAAAATGGTCTAGGGTTTCGGGGTTCGGGTTGAGGGCCTCATGCTCCTATGCACCGCGCGTCAACGTAGGAAGCTTGGTCCTAACATGGCTACAAGCAGCTTCTTGTATTTCCGACAAGTCCTAAACCCCTTCGTTTGGGGGTTCACGATAATCAGGGGCCCCTTATATCGACCCCCAAATAGTAGGATCTCCTCAAAATAAGGACCCCCAATAGCGTACCCCCAATATCGTCAACCCTAAACCTTACACTCTAACCTTTGGCCCTAAACCCTACACCCTCATATCGTAAATCCCTTCATTTGAGGCTGGCGGGCGGTGGGTCGTGGTCGACGTCATTCTCAGAGCCAAGTTGCTTGGGCTGCCACAGCTCATCCGTAGACTTTGTAAGGGCTTTTGCGGTCTTGCTCATCCGGGGTATAGGGTTTAGGATTTAGGGTTTAGGGCCCTGCTGGGAAATAAGGTTGAACGAGTTTCGACTGTCTTTGCTCAGAAGCTCCCATAAAGACGGAAGTTGCAGGTTTAGGGTTTTTAGGGTTTTTAGGGTTTTTAGGGTTTTTAGGGTTTTTAGGGTTTTTAGGGTTTTTAGGGTTTTTAGGGTTTTTAGGGTTTTTAGGGTTTTTAGGGTTTTTAGGGTTTAGGGTTAGGGTTTACGGTTGCAGGGTCTGTTTTCAAGGTGCTGAGATTGGGGAGGTTTTGGGGCATGGCGAGGAGCCGTGCGGTGACCAGATTCGGTGGGTTTAGGGTTTCGGGTTTAGGGTTTAGGGTTTAGGGTTTAGGGTTTCGGGTTTAGCGTTTAGCGTTTAGCGTTTAGGGTTTGGGATTCTGTTCAGGATTTGGGGTTGAAAGCTGTTTGCATGCTGAGAGAATAGCCTGTCATGGGTTACCCTGGCACTCAGAGCACCTTCCTTTGCTTGTCCTAAACCCTAAACCCTAAACCCTAAACCCTAAATCTAAACCCTAAACTTGTCTCGATGTTGCTGCTCGTGACTGGCGCTGAAATCCCAGTCGAAGCATCCTTGAGCACCCGACCGTTTTAGCCGAGGATCCTCAAAGCTGTTTAGGGTTTAGGGTTTAGGGGTTAAGGCTTAGGGCTGGTGAGAAGGTCTTCAGGAAGTTGGTTTGGGATTACGATGCAGAGTCCGGGCTGCAAGCGCCCGAAGTACAACAAGGCCCGGTGTGTGGAGATAGTTGCCAATGAGAACTTGTCCAACACGTGCTGCCGCTCTTTGAAACTTGATTGGTTCGAGTACGAGGACCGCACACCAAGAAGAAGTTGACCCCTGAGCAGATAGAAAAGAAATGGCGCGACCGGATGGCGTCTGAGGGACCGTATGACCTGCTGGGGGAGAATCTGGACTCCGGAACGCCTGTTGGTAAAGGTCGAGAACTATGTCAATACCAAGAGGCAATCAGGCATGCAGGGTAGGACTCGCCTTGAACCCTAAACCCTAAACCCTAGACCCTAAACCCTAAACCCTAAATCCAACTTCGAGGAAGGTCGGGGCGAAGAGAGTCCTCATAAACCAGTGGTTGGTTCGTGGAGATGTCAGCAGCCGTGGGATTACATGGAGTCTAGAGTTTGGGGTTCACGGGTTGAGGGTTGAGGGTTGAGGGTTGAGGGTTTATTCCATAGAGTGCTTGTGGCTGTCAGGCACAGAGTTTCATCCCTGAGCCCCCAACACCCCCAAGGGCCTAATTTCCAAAGCATCCACGACATCCCAACATGCCCGAAGCCCTAAGAACCCCCTGGTTCTTAGTAGGGAATGAGGGAATTAGGGCCCTATGTATACCCTTTTAAAGGATTATGTAGGGTACCTCATTCCCTTATTCCCTACTAAGAACCAGCCAGAAGAACCAGGCCCGGATTTCTTCCTGAAGTGCCGCATCTCCCAGGACAGGCGTCGGCCCATGTGCTATGGGCGGGGGGGGGGGGGGTTAAAGGCTTTTTTTCTCGGGAAGGACGCGAAGTCCCAGACAGTGGAACCCTTTGGCAGTGGATTCTTAGGGCTACATGATGCTCCGCTGTTCTTGGCAGGCTGCACATACTGCCCTCGTTGTTCTGCTTTTGGGGGGGTGTTTTGGGGGGTCGGAGCACCGGAAGACACCAGAGGTGCAATAACAAGGTGGCTAAGTTAAGGCCCTAAACTTAAGGCTACCGGAGCCCGGAAGGCCCCTCAGCCCCTACACTCTGAGCTTCAAACCCTCAAGCCCTCAACTCGACTTCCCTAAACCTGGGTAGCCCAGTGCCTTCTTTTTTTGGTTATGGTTTCCCTTCTGAAAGAGCCAACCCAAAGAAGGGTGCCCTTATTATAATATGGTTACTAAACCCTAAACCCTAGACCCTAGACCCTAAACCCTAAACCCTAAACCCTAAACCCTAAACCCTAAACCCTAAACGTTTGAGGACCTTCCCCCGCAAGCTCTGCTTGAAGAATTCGACGACTCTGGCATGGTGGTTGGCTCGGCGTACAGCCTTTTTGGGAATGGAGAAACCCTAAACCCTAAACCCTAAACCCAATACTCAGAACAAGAAGGGGGTCCGCCGGGCTTTGGCTTTTGGTTCTGGTGTGCTGGGCTTTCGTTTTCGGGGCTTAGTGGGTGGAGGGTTTAGAGGGTTTTCGGGGCTTGGCAGGCGTTGAGGTTCTGGGTACTTGGGGTCTGGTTGTGGGGTGTCCAGGGTTGAGGGTTTGGAGGGAAGGAAGGAAGGAAGGAAGGAAGGTGCAGCCACCATGTGCTATCCGTTGAAACCCCCCGCCGATCAACAACACATGCGCTCGTCAACAAACCCTGCATTGAGCTTCACTTGCAGCTATAAAGCCATAGGGTTTCGGGTTGAAAGCCTAGACCGAAGCCCCTGAACCCTGAACCCTAAACCCTAAACCCTAAACCCTAAACCACCCCCGGGTGGCCTCCTGGGCGTGAAGGTCAAGTTGCACATCCCAAAGTTCGACGGGACGGCGCGCCTGCGGACAGCAATGGGCCCCATGGGTTCAGCGGCTTGTGGGGTTTAGGGTTTAGGGTTTAGGGTTTAGGGTTTAGGGTTTAGGGCCTTCAGGGTTGTGAGGGTTTATGGTTTTCTGACATGTGCTTTGAAACCTGTCGCCCTAAGCTTGAAGAACCAACGAATCACAACCCGAAGCCTCAACAACCCTAGACCCAAAACCTCAACTAGACAGCAACCTCACGCCCCGAAACATTAGCTGGGTAGTCAGTCTCGGATCTTTGCTGTAGCATCATTCCGATACAATCCCGATGGCTCTCATTTAGTTTCCTAGAACGGAACAGTAACACAGGGGCCTGGACCTTACCCAGATCATGCCCTCTTATAACTTATAGCCCCTATAACTCCACCAAAGCCCCAAACCCTAAGCCCCGAAACCTCTCTAAATGTAGGGTTTGCACAGGGCATTGCCCGAGGGCATTGCCCGTTGAGAGTGGAGGGGTCTGGGCTCCCGTCCAGTCCTAGCTAACCATAAACCCCAAAACATGGGGCGGGCAGTGGGACCATGTCTACAGACCCTAAACCCTAAACCCTAAACCCTCAACACCCTCAACCCTAAACCCAGATGGTCCTGTACAAAGAGAAGCCAACTCAGGGATTCTTCGGCTTCCAACTCTCAGGTCCGGCACAGGCGTTTCTGCAGTTCGGAGACGCCATGTCTCGGCGTCGCGCGCACGCGAAGAACGAGAAGCCACCCGGCTTCAGAGGGCCAGGGCTTGGCAGCTCAGGCGACGCCCCAGTCATGACTCGGAGTTGAGGGTTTAGGGTTTAGGGTTTAGGGTTTAGGGTTTAGGGTTTCCTGGTTCGCATGTAGCAGGCCTTGTACATGCCACGCGCCTACATCGAAGGTACGTCCTTGACTGCCAGCTGCATCTGTTCGCCAGCGCCCTTGCCGCAGCCTGATGACCCGGCTGAGGTGGTAGTGCGGGCTCTGAAGAATGTTCGTAATGTAGAGTATCCCCTATCTCTAAGCCCTTATGTCCTGGCACAGAACTCCATGCTTTGGGGGTTAGGGTTTAGGGGTTAGGGGTGAGACCCTAAACCTTGGGCCCCGAACCCTGAAAGGTCCTGGACTTGTGGCCCAGGCACGCAGCACGGCTTTGCAGAGGCGGCCAGGTACCGCGACTTCGCGACCTATGACATGGCCACCTGCCTTGCAAGCTGCGCGCTGCTCGAGTGTCATATTTAGGGTCTAGGGTTTTGGGTTTTGGGGTTTAGGGGTGTATAGAAATTGTATAGGGTTTGGGTCCCAATAAGTTCGAGCGAAAGTTTTGAGCGAAACGTTTTGGGCGAAAGTTTATTTTTAGATTTTAAGTTTCAGGGGTGGACGTGGGTGGTGGGGGGGGGGGGCGGTGGAGGGCTCGGGGGGCCCGATTTCGTAATTTAGTATTCTGGGCAGGTCCGGCTTCGAAATTTAGTATTCGGGGGAGGCCCGGCTTCTGTTTGTTAGGTTTTTTAGGGGAACTCACGAGTACAAAGGCTTGGGAAGGCCCCATAGGTTTAAGGAAAATGACCATTTAGCCTGCCAGGTGTTTTGGGTTAATTCACTTAAACTCGGCACGGCAGCAGTTTAGACAAATAGCTTGGGAAATTCCGAATGATATCACATACAAGTTCTACTGTATTTGTGTTTGTCTTGAGGGTTTAGGGTTTAGGGTTTTGGGTTTAGGGTTTTCCGGGCGGATGTCGACTCAAGGCGTTGGGGTTAGGGTTTCAGAAGCCCCGCCAAAGCCAAAACCCGCAAAAGACAACACTAGCTGGGCCCCCAGCCATAGGTCGCGCAGTTGGGTCCTAAACCCTAAACTAAACCCTAAACCCTAAACCCTAAACCCTAAACCCTAAACCAGGGCTTTCGCTTTCTTTTAGGGGATCACGGCTGCTTTTGTGCAGCAAAGGCCACCTACAAGATGCAGCGCCTCGGCTGCCAGCTAAACGGATTACACACCTAACCTTGGGGTTTAGGGTTTAGGGTTTAGGGTTTAGGGTTTAGGGTTTAGGGTTTAGGGTTTAGGGTTTAGGGTTTAGGGTTTAGGGTTTAGGGTTTAGGGTTTAGGGTTTAGGGTTTAGGGTTTGCGACCCGTCTCGGCCTGAGCTTCTGTAGGTGGGGTGCCTGCTTTGTGCTACCTACCTACGGCCCGAGGCCTCGGTGGATTGGGGTCTAACATACCCTCGACTAGGCGTAATCCCTTTTAACGCATATGCGCCCTTAACCCTTTCAAGCTTAAGTAAGGGTTAGAGTAAGTTTACGTCCCTCTTGTGATCTCTGAGAGAACGTTCCAATTTTTACTTGGGGATTAGGGTTTAGGGCTAGAGACTAGGTTTTGGGCAGCCCTCATGTGCTCCAAAGTATCTTGGGTGGTGAGGGTTGACGTGGGTCCTACAACGAATCTTCCTCGGCGCCCCCCTTCTTGCCGCGGAATCCACACAGCAGTTTTTAGGGCTCGGGTCCCCCCTCCCCCCCCCCCGCCCTCCCCCCACTTCCCCCGACCCACAAAAAGTGTCAACCCTCAACCCTCAACCTTACACCCAAAAAACCCTACAAGCTTGAACCCAGAATCCTCAACCCTCAACCCTCAACCTTGCACCTCCAACCCTACAAGCTTTGAACCCTACACCCTAGCGAGGCTCTTGGTGAAAGCCGCCGGCCAGATGGTAGAGGCTGCCAGGGCACGGTTCAGGGCTTAGGGTTTGGGGCCTGGGGTTTAGGGTTTAGGGTTTGGGGTTTAGGCTGTTTGGGAGAATCTGGGATAAGCGGTTTGGAATTTGGGTTGGACTCGACGTCCTCGATCCTGCAGCCTACAACAAAAAACTCCTCCTTGAGCTTGAAGCCCAATAGCTGCAAAATCTCTAAGCACCAGAGCCCCAAAATCCTATACCCTTTGACCACAAACACCCTGAAACCCCAAAACATCAACCCTAGTTCAACCCCAACTTGAAAAACCAAGAACCCCGCAAGCCTTAAAGCCCTTAAACCAACATCCTAAGACTCGACAACCCGGACCCTAAACCCTATAGACCCTAAACTCAAGGCCCCTGCACTGCAGACTTTCTCAGAGCGCACCGAAGATCCGACTACAGCCTCCGTCCCCCTAACCCCAAATCTGCACATGGGTGGCTGTCAAAATTATATTCCCTTTTTGGGGTACCCTAAATATTAGGTGCCGTATTATAATAGGGACCCACAAAGGGACCATAATTTTGACAACCACCCACATCAGGGCCACACTTCAGAGCTATCCTCACATGTGGACGCTCACACTCACAGTTACGGCTCCCTAAACCCTAAACCCTAAACCCTAAACCCTAAACCCTAAACCCTAAACCCTAAACCCTAAACCCTAAACCCTAAACCCTAAACCCTAAACCCCCGGTATTTGGGCTTCAGTAGCGTTCAGGGAAGAATTCGCCAAAGACGGAGCTTTTTTTCCCGTGGTTTGGGATTTAGGGTCGAGGGTTATGCAGACACATGCTATGCATGACTTCACCCTAGCTAACTCTTCCTGGCTGGCAAGGCGAAGCTATTCTAGTTCAAAATAGCAGCAGGAGCACTTTAATAAACAAAAGCCTTAAACGGATTATTTAGGGTCACCCGTATCCCGCATTCCCTTCTAAGAACCAGTAGCTTAAAGCTCCTGTTCAGGCACCGGATGCCGACATGCGGCCCTCGACCTCGTCAGACACATCGGTGGAGGTAAACCCTAAACCCTAAACCCTAAACCCTAAAACCCCTTAACCCTAAACCCTACGGTTCCCGACTGAGGATTACACATCGAACCCTTTCAAGGTTTGGAGAAATTCTGAAGTAGAGCCTCTAGGCTCCAGAAATCGTGAGCCCCATTGAGATTCAAACTGAGCCGGAAGAAAGCCAACGCAGCTCTGCAGGCAGTGGTGGAAGCCATGCGATTACACCCAGGCTGCGAAGCGGTGCAGCAGTCGGGTAGCACGGCGCTGGTCCGCTTGTGCAGTGGCACAGATGCGGAGAGTCACGGAAGGAGGGAGCGAGCGATGCAAGCGGGGGTCCTGGAGACCGTCGTAACAGCCATGGGCCACCAAGAGACGACAGTCAATGTGCAGATCTGGGGCATGATGGTTCTTGTTTGCGTTTGTGGCGACTTGGGCATCAAGCGGCGGTGCTTGACGCAGGAGGCGGGGGATCTGCATAGCGCCTTGAAGGTTGTGGAGGCAGCAATGTATAATTTTCCGGACAGCAAGGATGTCCAGCACTGGGGTTGCATCGCCATCTTCGAGATCAGTAGGGGGATCCCAAAAGCAATCCTCCGAGCGGCATGGGCGTCAAACCTTGTGGTGGCGGCCATGCGGAGCCACTGCGGCTGGGTATCGCTGCAGGCTGCCGGCGCTGCTTGCCTGGCCCTCCTGAGCATCTTAGTAGCTGAGTGAGTACACTTTGCACGTTTTGGGATACTGTAATTCCCTATAGAACTGAAAGTGTATACTTTTCTTGGGGGGCTTTATGGACTCAGCAACTAAGGCATGCCGCTCCCTGGCAGCAGCACTCAGGGCCGATTTGCAAGACAGCAGCGAGCAGTCGATGCTGGGGCCGTGGAGGCTGTGATTCGGGCTCTACAGCACAACCTCTTCAACGAGCAGATCCAGCAATTTGGAATCAAGGCTCTCGCAAATATCTGCGGCGGCTCAGATAAGAATCGACATCGAAGACAGCAGGCTGTCCGAGCAGGGGCCATGGACGCGATCCTGGCAGCTATGGCCTTGCACTCGAGCTGCATGGTGATGCACTGGGGCATTGATGCCCTCCTCAGTATCTGTTGCGATGCAGAGTCAATACAGCTGGCAGCGAGCAAGGGTGCCGTCAGCAAGATTCTGGCAGCGATGCAGCGTCATCAGGACTGCGAGCGCGCGCAGAAGAGCGGGCTGGTCTTCTTGCTTCGGTTTTGCAGCGTGGCAGGTGCGAACGGTGTGGATGCACGGACACTGGCGGTCAATGCGGGAGCCCTGAAGGTGGTTGTATCATCCATGGGACAGCATCGAGGCGATCAGTTTGTGCAGACGTGGGGCAGCGGCACCATCGTGAGCATCTGCAGTGGGATGCGCTACGACAGCGTCGTCAGACGGCAACGGGCTGTGCCTGCGCAGCACAGTGGTGCCCCTTTATCCGTTTTTTGGCTTCTGGGTTCCATAAAAACCTAAACCCTAAACCCTAAACCCTAAACCATGGCTACTGGGCTACCAAGGTTCAAGTGGGTGCACTGGAGGCTGTCGTGGAGGCCATGTCCTGTCACCGGAAGAGCGAGGGCCTCCAGAAAGAGTGCTGCTCTGCCATCAGCAACATCTGCAGCTAGGTAGGCCCTTGGGACAGTTTAGGGTATAGGGTTTAAGGTATAGGGTTTCGGGTTTCGGGTTTAGGGCTTAGGGTTTTGCATTTCCCGCTCAATTTAAGGTAGGCCCTTGGGATATTGTTTCCATGCTTCCCCCTTTATATTTGGGGTTTAACAGGATCCTATTCCTAGGGATATTCTCCAGTTTAGGGTTTAGGGTTTAGGGTTTAGGGTTTAGGGTTTAGGGTTTAGGGTTTAGGGTTTAGGGTTTAGGGTTTAGGGTTTAGGGTTTAGGGTTTAGGGTTTAGGGTTTTCACGCGGGGGGGATGCCTTCGAGGCAGTGGCGATGCCTTCGAGGCAAAGCAGCGGGCCGTCAAGGCAGGGACGCTGGAGGCCGTGGTGAATGCCATGCGGCTGCACCCCTGCCAGGCCGTGCAGGACTACTTCTTGTTTTTTTAGGGTTTAGGGTTTAGAGCCTACTCTTTGCTTACAAACCACTCAATAGAAAAATATTTTCTTCCTGAAAATAGGGGCAACAGAAGGATTGTTTGTTGCCTCTCTGGGTGGCTCTTGAGCAAATAGTAGAGGAACGAGGCTCCGTTGTCTTCCTCGTGCTTTGCAGCGGCATGGACGCCCTGGGCCACGAAAGAAAGCAGCGCGCGGTGGAAGCTGGGGCGTTGGAGGTTCATGGCACTTATTATGTAGCAATTATAGCTGTATTGATAACTGTACTTAGAACCATGTTAGGGCATTCAGGGGCTTAAAAGTGGGTTATAAGTACAGTTTATAATTGGTAAATAAGTACCATGAACCTCCAAGTGGAGGTGGTGGTGGCAGCTATGCGACGCAACCCGGACAGCGGGAGTGTGCAGAGATGGGGCCGCGGGGCCATCATCAACATATGCAGCGGCAGAGATGCTGGCAGCCTCCGCCGAAGGCATCGGGCAGTACAGGCAGGAGCGCTGGAGGCCCCTGGGCTGTAGAGGAGCATCTGCTTTGGACGCGGCATTCTGCGTTTTTACGCTACTGCACCTAACACAATCCCGGCATGCCTAAACTGCCTAAACCTTAAAACCCTGACAAAAGCTCCAAACTCGGAAGCCCTAACCCGCAGGGCTTACTGAAAATGCTGAGAGGCTGTACTTGAAGCGATGCAGCACCAAGTCGTATCCGTGCAGAATTCGGTCAGGACCCTGTTCATTGTCATATCATTCTTTTCGGCTTAGCGTTCCCCCGCGAACTCCCAAGAACACCGCTGATCCCCGTCAAGAGACTGATGACCTGTGGGTGCCCCCGCCCAGGCCTTGAGAAGCCACCCTAAACCCTAAACCCGAAAATCCCTGGGTACGCTGCAGGCTGCATCCTAAACTCCCGTAAAACCCTAAAGCCCCTAAACCCTAATTTCTAAAGAATGGAATCCCCCAGAATCCCAAAAGGACAGACAAGCCCCCTAAAGCCCAGAACGCGCTGAAGCCCTCAATCCCAAAACAGTGCCAGCCGCGAGAGTGCGCGACAAGTACAGCCTTGAGCCCTCAAACCTCTACAAGCTTCAAACTCGAAGCCCTAAGCCCCTGTAAACCCTGAACCCAAAGCCCTCAAACCCAAAGCCCTGAGCACCCCAAACATCACGAAAGCCTGTGTTAGCCAAGCAGGTAAGTGTCTAAGTGATGAACTTTCTGGCCAAGTTAAGAACCCTACTAGAATGGAAGGTCACGTTTTAGAGGGGCGTTCTGGAAACCTATGCTCTAACAGCCCGAGGGGTAAGAGAAGCACCTAAAGCCGAAGCCCCGAACACCGAAAAGTCCCGAAGCCCATTCAAGTTCGCGAAAAACCCGCTTCTAAAACCCCCCGAAAGTCCTCAAGCCCCATCCCTAACACCCTATAAGCCCTAAAGCACTACAAGCCATAAACTTATTTTACTTCGAACATCCCCACCCTCTCTTGGTAGAGATACTCTTGGGTTGGGCACTCTAGGGACACTCTGGGGCTGGGCACTCCGGGGACACTCTGGAATTGGGCGCGAGACTCTGGAGTTGGGCACTCCAGAAAAAGTCCTGTGGCGTTGGGCACTTCAGGCAGACTCTGGGGTTGGGCACTCCGGGGTGGGCACTTCGACACTCTGGGTTTGGGCACTCCGGGGAGACTCTGGGTTGGGCACTCCAGGGAGACTCTGGGTTGGCGCGGACACTCGAGAGTTGGGCGCTCCCAAGGACATTTGGGGTTGGGCACTCCAGGGATGAGCGAGGAGTAGACCGGGCGAGGAGAAGACTTCCGGGCGAGGAGAAGAGTTGAGATTAAAATCTAACAACCCCACATCGAGGGTGGGGAACAACACTAGAAGCCCTAAGCAAGCGAGGAGCAAGAGTTTCACTGACACTTCCGGGCCGCAGTTGAAAAGCCAGAGTAGGGCAGAGCCCTTTGAGGCAAGGGGGTGGAGGGGGAGTTAGGGTTTATGGTATAGGGTTTAGGGTTTAGGGTTTCAAGGTTTCAGGGTTCCAAGAAGGCCTGAACTCTAAAGAGCCATTGTGGGTTTTTTGGGTGACAGTTGCTGGGGCGCTTTGGGGTTCAGGTTTGCGTGGCCATTCCAGGCACGTGAGAGGAGTTTTGAAGTTCATGCTGAGGGTGTAGGGTTTAGGGTTTAGGGTTTAGGGTTCGTTGGGATTTTTCTTGGGGGTGTTAAGAGTCGCGGGTGGAGCCTAAAGCCCACAGGCCCCACATTCGGGCGAGGGCCAAGCGCCTTCAGCCGACACCAGCAACGGCACAACTTGCAGACGCCCGACTGCAGCCTCTTCTTTACAGGGCTTAGGCTTCAGGGTTTAGGGAGAAGGGCGACAAGTTTCGGGGTTCGTGTTCACGGCAGGTTGACGTCTTAGGGTTCAAGGTGGAGATGCGATTGGGGCGCATGTAGGCTTTCGGGGTAGGTTGGAGATCGTTGCAGGCTGAAGTCTGATATCTCTGCGGGTCCACCTCATCACTTTGTGACGTCATGCCTCCACGTAAGACCAGACGTCACCCAACACCCAAAGTCAAGTCTGCCACAGCTTCAAATGAGGTCCAGACGAACGTCCCTGCGAAGGAAATCCTGGGACGAGAGTTCACCTGCTTAGCTGTTGCTTTGGCGGCGCCCAGCGCTGGCCGGGATTTGTCTCTTCGTTTCTCAGAAACCTGGGAACGAAGCAGTTCTGTGTAAGGGCCCTGGGCGCATGCGGCCAGGTCCTTGCATGTCTGCTAAGCCCTAAACTCTAAGCCCTAACCCTTTAGTGACGTGCAGGAGTCATCCTACACCCAAAACCCTATGCCCTAAACCCTAAACCCTAAACCCTTAGGCTGTTAGGGTTTCGGGGTTTAGGGCGCAAGGTGGCCGGACCGTCCCTGAACTCGGAAGAACTTCGGGGCGGAGATCTGGGACATGGCTGGCGCCACTTTAGCGCGCGCCTTTGGCTACATGCACCTCCAGCTTGGAGAAGCCCTCAATCACCTAACTTAGCCCCTTGTTAGGGTTTAGGGTTTAAGGTTTAGGGTTTAGGGCTTAGGGCTTAGGGTTTAGGGTTTAGGGTTTAGGGTTTAGGGTTTAGGGTTTTAGGGTTTTAGGGTTTTCGGGTTTAGGGTTTAGGGTTCAGGGTCCTTCTTATCCTTCATCATATGAAGTTTTTTGGGTTTAGGGTTTTGGCCCCTCATCCCAAAAGCCCACCCCTGCCACACCAAAAGCCTTCAGCCGAGAGGTAAGGCTCTTCCTCTCCCAAACCCATAAGGTTAGACGACCACAACCATCCCATTGAAAGTTGAGGGTTAATTAGGGCTTTTCTGTTGCGGGGAAACTCGGGGTTCGAGAAGGCTTAAGAGCATGTGAGCCCCAGGAGGCATCTAGCCATCAGCTTTCTGCGTCTACTGCGGGGAACCCTACTAAACCCTAAACCCTAAACCCCTACTTTGAAGTAACATTGAGTTTCTACAGGGCCGAGAATATCATCTGTAGAACCCACTGATCATGGTTTTTCTAGGGCTCCAAAAGCCACCCAAGTAAAGCCTCCTTTGCCTCGCGATCTCGTGGAAAGCTTCATCGGAGCTGAGGGCAAAGTTTCCTGTCCGGTGAGGGAATTGAGGGTGTGTTGGTGTGCTTTCAACCCTAAACCTTGAACCCTGAACTCTGAACCCTGAACCCTAAACCTTATACTGAGAATCTTCCGAAGAGTAGGACCTTGTTGCAAAGTATCCGGCAGGTCCACGTAAGTCTCGGTTCTCTCAAAACAGGATAGGGTTTGGGGCTGAGGGTTTAGGCTTTAGGGTTTATGGGTTAGGGCTTATATAGGGTTGTCCTCCCAAGACCCCTCAACCCTACATCCTACACCCTAAAGCCTCAACCGTTGAGCCTCAACCCAGCAACTTTGTCAAGCGCACCACCTCCTCGAAATGGACCTCCGCGCAAAGGCACGCAAGAAATGATTGCACCTCCGAGCCCCAAGCTGAACAAGTTGCAGTATTTTGGACCCACCTCGCTTAGCTCTCATAAACGAGTTGCATTGAAAACACCTCGATCAGCAAAAGAAGCACTTTTGATGTGCCTTGGCAGCAAAGCATCCGGGAAAAACAATCGAAGCAGGTTTTAGCATCCACTTCCTGCCATTAAGTAGGAAGACGGACAACTGTATGTAAGTTAAGTTGATTTCTGAAAGCTAGATCTCTCTCTCTCTCTCTGGATTCCTGCAGCTAATCTAATTTGTTTGGGCTTCTGTCGCATGCTGCTTGAGCTTTCCTGATGCAAGGAGCATACCTCAGCCCCTAAACCCTAAACCCTAAACCCTAAACCCAAGGTCTTGTTTGTGTTTCGTCACGACAGCTGAAGCCCACCTTCAGCAACTCCACGATGAGCACGGACAAGAAATCCCTAAACCCTAAACCCTGAACCCTGAACCCTAAACCCTAAACCCTAAACCCTCCCTTACCAGCCGAACTCCATCATGGGAAGCGACTGGGCCTAGACCTTGCACATGGAATTCTTGCAATGACCCCCTCGTCAGACCATGCCTCCTGTCATGAGGGTCCGAACTAAAATGGATTTGGGCTAACACCTGAGCTTATTCTCGTTGTCCAAATGAGCGACAGATACAAAAGGGAAGCTGAGCCGGGCGACTTTGCTGTAATTTTAACGCTACGCGACCCGCCTCGGCCCGGCCCAGCGCATCCGCGTGAGCATGGTGATTCCGCAGCGCCAAGTCGCTGGACCCCAAGCAATAAGGGTTGGGTTTACCGGGTGGTTTATGGTTTGGGGTTTAGGGTTGAGGGTTAGTTTAGGATTGAGGGCTTAGGGCTCAAGGTTCACGCTTTGGGGTTTACGGGTTTTTTTGGGTTTAGGGTTCAAGAGACGGTTCGGCTTGGATTGATCGTAGGGTTGAGCCAGGCCCCTCAGGGGGGGGGGAGGGGGGGGGGGGGGGGGGGGGGGGGGGGGGGGGGGGGGGGGGGGGCCTGCTGGGAGGGGCTTCAACTGCCTCTGGTCTGGCGAACCGTCCGCTTGCGGACCCGGTTTCCTAGGGGGGGGTACCCATTTGAGGCAAAAAAAAAAGGGGGGCCGAGGATAGAAACCGCGGAATACTTCTCTGGAGCAGATCCTTTTCACGGCCTAAATCGGCGAACTGAATGCCCCTCAGTCAATTTCATATGACGTCTTCTTTCAACATGACTCCACAAATCTGATCATTACGTTTGAGGATGTTTGAGGCATCGTGCTGCGGGGAGTGCGGTTGCTCGATGCTCATCACCCCCGCTCATGGGTTGACAAGCTTTCAAACCCTAAACTTTCCCTAAACCCTAAACCCTAAACCCTAAACCCTAAACCCTAAACCCTAAACCCTAAACCCTGTGCCAACCAAACAGGTCGCAACTGTTCACGCTGCACTCCCTCCACCTACAACTTGAACTTGTGCAGGCGACCCTAAGCCCTAAACCCTAAACCCTAAACCCTAAACCCTAAACCCTAAACCCTAAACCCTAAACCCTAAACCCTAAACCCTAAACCCTAAACCCTACACCCTAAACTAAACCCTAAACCTTTGGTTCACCAGCGTCGCTTCGAAGCGAGAGTTCCTTCTCACTGCTTGGCTGGATCCACCAGAGCTCTCTCAAGCACAGATGTTTCAGGGTTTAGGGTTTAGGGTTTAGGGTTTAGGCTTTCTGCATCTTAACTTCAGATCTCCATTATTTGTTGTTATTTGCTTGTTGACCTATGACCCGGGGAAGAAACATGAACCGTGTGGTGCAATGGCAAAATTCATTTCTATACCTTGTTGATATACCGGTGAAAAATGATCACGCAGACGAAGAAGCTGCCAACATTCTTCTCGTTCTCGTTGACCAGCTCATCAAAACATTGATTGTAGAAAATTAAATACTCCACATTGCTGTGCATGTTGTCATTGCTGTGCATCTGCACTTGGGTCGCATCTTGGAGGGAATAGGTTGGAAGCTTAAACTCCGCACTGCTTGCTTAGGCTCTCGGCAGGCTGTTCTCCGCCCCTCACGTTCAAGGAAGCGGTCGCCCCATCAAAGCCCCACCACAGCCGGCTCGAAGCGTAGAGGGCGTGAGATCACCTGAAATATCTCATCATGGGCGGAGTCTTGGGTGGCGCCGTCGGAACATGGAAGGACACCTCCGCAGCTAACTTAAATGCGCATGTCGTTGCCAAGGATGGGTGTGGGGGTAGTTGGGTTTCTAGTGTGAGATTCGACGGAGAACCGCCTCACCACCAGTACGTAAACCAACTCGGAGGTTTCGTCTTCAGCAACTTAGTACAAGGTCGGTTCCAAGGTCTCCGAAGTTACAGGTGTTGCTTGGAAAGGACCAGGATGCCCATGGATGCGTTAGGAGCTAGTGATGGCCCAAACCGACGCCCCCCAGATAGGACGATGGCTCTGAAGCTGTTCAAGACGGAAAGGATGGCAGCTTCAGCATCAGCGGGAAGGAGGCCTTCTACTTTCTAGAGATGGTGGCACCAGCAGCATGCGTTGCAGCATAGAGGACGCCACAACTGTATCATCAAAGAGAGAGACTGAGACAGAGAGCCAGACAAGGAGAGACCCAAAAATGCAGCAGGATGGGTCAGGGTTTTGGGTTAGTGGGACTTGTCAGCTGAGCTTGGCCGACCGTCGCACATGTCTGTTGTCTGGCAGGGCGGTTCACCCGTGTGCGCCCTCTACAGCAAGCCGGTCTCGTCAGGCTACAGATGGTTTGTAGGGCCTTGAGGTTTTCTACATCTTGTCAGATCCCCATAGACTGATCGCACGGCGACCGTTGGCAGGGCCAGCCCTATACTATATCCAACCTAAGCCGTCGAAGTCAACCCCTCAATCCCTGGACTTTGAGGGTTTGAGGCTTAGGGTTTTTCCCTCTTCACCTCGCCCCCCCCCTCCCCCCCGCGGGCCCTCGGCCCCTTTCCTTAAACTCCTTATCCTTAGACTCTCTTCAAAAGTGGGCCCCAAACGCCTCAATTGCCATCAGTTTCTGTGGAGAGGCGAATACTTTGAAGTGACCTGCGAAAGCCTCAAGGACAGCGTCTTCATTGGCGTCAGCCCCCGGGCCTAAAACGAGGTTTAGGCTTTCAGGTTTAGGGTTTAGGGTTTAGGGCTTAGGGCTTAGGGTTTAAGGTTTAGGGCTTAGGGCTTAGGGCTTAGGGCTTAGGGCTTAGGGTTTAGGAACTTTCAGGTAGTCGGACTTGAAGGTTCAGGCTTAGGAGTTTGATGGTTGAAGGGTTACCGGTCGGATGTTCCCCTTATGCAACAGTCCTCAATTGGTATGACAATGGGGGGGACTATAATCCCTTTTGGGGACTGTTAGTACGGAAGGGGGAACATCCCAAGCTACACCCTAAACCCTACACCCTAAACCCTAAACCCTAAACCCTAAACCCTAAACCCTAAACAGGGTTCACGGTTCGTAGGCATTCAACACGCATAGGACAGAGGCCCTGGGAGCCAATTCCGAGGCACGGAGGCGGCTTTCGCCAAAGGCTACAAGTGTCCCTTGTCTTAAATGAGTCGTGAGGGGGGTGAGATCGTTTAGGGTCTAGGGTTTAGGGTTTAGGGTTTAGGGTCTTAAATGGGGATTTTCGAAAGTAGGAGTACCCGTTTAGGGGTGGGGGGTTCCTTCAATAAGGATCCTACTATTTTGGGGGGGTATGTCAAGAAGGGTACTCATATTTGGGGAATTTCCCCAGATGAGTCGTGGAGGGAGGTGAGATCCTCAAGAAGAACCAAGATGGCGACGCCCCTGCAACTCCTAAAACAGAGCCACGCTCAGCCAAGATCCCTCCCTCACGACCTTGGCGATGCTCAGCCTAGGGTTTAGGGTTTAGGGTTTAGGGTTTAGGGTTTAGGGTTTAGGGTTTAGGGTTTAGGGTTTAGGGTTTAGGGTTTAGGGTTTAGGGTTTAGGGTTTAGCCTCATAAACCTCTACAGTGGACTCTACAGCCCAACAGCTCTCACGTTCATGCCAGAAACAACATGTAACAAGGTGTAAGGCTACCGCCAGAAGACACACAACTTCCTGTCCAGCTTGAGCCGAAGCCATCCTATGCCCCTTCCCCTCTAACGTGATCAGCCCCCCCCCCCCCCGCCCCAACACCTAAGCCATTAGAAAAAATTCTCCACCCCTAAACCTTAAAATCCCTAAACCCTAAGCCCCTTAAAACCCTGAACTCTGAAACCCCTGAACCGAGGTAAGTACAGCACCCAGGAGCCCCAAGCGAACCCTTGCATTATGTGTCCTGTTCATTCCTTGGTTGCTCGCTGCTCCTGGCCCTAAACCCCATAAACCCTAAACCCTCAAAACAAAACAACAAAAAAAGTTATGTGGAATCATTCTGAGTTTCCCAAGGTAGCTGTCTAAACAGCTGGCAAGCCGAGCGTAAGTAAGTTAAGAACTCTGAGAGGCCAAATGCTCAATTCACATAAACCTTTGGGGCCTTCCCCTCCAAGCTCCTAATTCCAAACAGAAGCCGTCGGGCAAAACGTGCAGGTCAAACGTTCGGTCACAACATTTCGGTCAAGACTTTTTGCCCAAGACTTTCCTTCAAGACGTTCGTTCAAAGCTTTCGTTCAAGACTTTCGTTCAAAACTGTCGTTCAAAACGTTTTTGGGATCCGAACCCTATACGATTCCTGCAAAGCATGTTTTTAAAGGGGTCCTGGACCGGCAACGTTTCGTTTTGCACCCATTTCACTACTGGCCCAACATCATTACCTGTCACGTTTCGATTCGCACGTCTAAAAAGACGTTCAACAGGTTCGTTGAAAACGTTCGCTGACAAGCTGTTATAGAGCACAACAAGGAGAGTCTAAAACAGAGTCGTTCGTTGACAGCGTTTCGTTGCAAACTTTCGTTCGAATTCCAAAACGGTATCTTGACCCAAACCCTCTACAAATTTCTCTAAACCCTAAACCCAAAACTCTAAACCCCAAACCCTAAACCCCCTAACCCCCCTAAACCCCCTAAACCCCGTAAACCCCCTAAACCCCCTAAGCCCCCTAAACCCCCTAAACCCCCTAAACCCCATACCAAGGCCGGGGACTCTTCTTTGGGGGCCCGGGGAACTTGTCCAACGGCTCTGGTCTGATCAGGGGCGGCTTCGGCGAAAGCCGGGCGACCCAACTGGCAGGGTTTCGGGTTTAGGGGTTTAGGGGTTTAGGGGTTTAGGGGTTTAGGGGTTTAGGGGTTTAGGGGTTTAGGGGTTTAGGGGTTTAGGGGTTTAGGGGTTTAGGGGTTTAGGGGTTTAGGGTTTAGGGTTTAGGGTTTATAGGGGTTCAGGGTTTCGGGTTTAGGGTATAGGGGAGTTTGGGGGTTTTGGGGTTGGGGTTTTGGGGTTGAGGGGTTTTGGGGTTTAGGGGTTTTGGGGTTTAGGGGTTGAGGGGTTGAGGCGTTAAGGGGTTGAGGGGTTGAGGGGTTTAGTGGTGGTGCTTCGGGGGTAGACTTGAGGGTTTTGGTGAAAAGCATTCTGGGATTGAGTGGGTTAGGGTTGGCTCCCCTTCTTCAGCCAAGACCCGAAGTTTCCTCAGCAGACGACGCCAGCTGAGGGGTTTTCGAGAATAAAGGAACCCCTTGGGCCCTTGGGGTCCTAAAGTAGACCCCCCAATAATATCATCCCCGAATCACATGGACTCCAACAAGGTACCCCGAATGTCGGAAACCCTAAACCCTAAACCCCTAAACCCTAAACCCTAAACCAGTGGGCTGCACTCCGAAATCCCCAAGGCTACTTCAACTTAAGAGCCCCGTGCCTGGAGAACTGCCCTCGCAACCTCGGAGACACACGCTGCTTCTTGGGGTTTGGGGTTTAGGGTTTGGGGTTTTGGGTTTTGGGTGTAGGAGTTGGGGTCTGGGGTTTGGGGTTTAGGCTTTCGCACGCTGCTACGCTGCCCTGGCCCAGGCATTAAGCAGGGTGATGTCGTTGGCTTCCTTACAGAGTTCGATGACAAGTCAGCGACTCGGGCGCAAACATGTGGCGGCGCCAGGCACATCCTCGGGGGCTCTGGAGGCTGTGTTCCGTTTCATGGCGTATCCCTTCGGTCAGCAAGCCATGCTCAAATGGGTTTAGGGTTTAGGGTTTAGGGTTTAGGGTTTAGGGTTTAGGGTTTAGGGTTTAGGGTTTGGGGTTTAGGGTTTAGGGTTTAGGGGCTCCCTGCTTGGCACTTGGGGATCTCTGGCCTCTGAGGTGAAGGTCACGGTCTACCAGGATGGCCGATGCTTGGGACTGGCCTTTGAGTCTCCGCGCCAGGACCCGGCAGAGGGCGGGAGGACGATGTCTAGGGAAGCCGGTGACGCAGTCCACCTGTATGTCAGCAGGGCTCAGCCGCCGTGGACCGGGTACACATGTGAAGGGCGTCATTTGTCATTCTGTCACAGTTCGCAGGCGCTTCATGGCATCTCACGAAAGGCGCACCCACGTTCCCTGACAGAAAAGCTCTGGAAAACTAAACAGAAAATAGAGCGGCCATGTGTTGAACACCACGCCGAACACGACCCCGCCTACTCGCTGATTGAGTCTTCTCCCAAAGCTCTGCCGGCAGGATGCCTCAGCGCAAATCTTTCCAGTGGTACAGGCCAAGGCTCCTCGCCCGCTTCGTCGTGCAAGGTGAATAGGCTGCTTGTGTGGTGACGTCGCAGTTGTATATGGGTCCGGTATGCTATGCAGTAGTCCAACTTAGTGTGGCTCACAAATGATCTGAATCCGATGCAAGATAGTGTGCTTGTGTGCACGCATTGCTTGCGCATGGTGGCCCTGCAGGCCGATGGAGACAAGTTCAAGATTGCCACCAAGTCGGCACCATCTGCCAAGGAGCTAATCCTGGTAAGGGTAGCCCTAAACCCTAAACCCTAAACCCTAAAGCAAGAAACGCGACGAGGACCGCCAGCCGGCAGCCAAGACCCACTTCGCGGTAGGCCTCCGCTGATCGGGCCGCATGATGTTGTGTCGGCTGGTGCGTGTCGGTTCGGGCCCGGAGGGTGTTAAAGTTGTTTTTTGCCGGACAGGAACCTGGAAGCTCGAGAAGCTCATGCTGGGCCCTGAGCTGGGGGAGTTCCCCTTGGCGGACAAGATGGGCGACAAGCCGGTGACGGTGACCATCAAGGACCGCGCCAGTGGGCCAGTGGGGCACGCCCCAGTAGCCACCCAAAGCAGTAAACGAAAGACACGCATCCCCGGACCACAGCATCCAGGCCCGTACCCTCCAAGCGAAGTGCATATTGTTCAGGATGCCGGTGACAAGAAGTTCCACATGAGTGCCAAGGTCGCGAACACCATCAACAACCAGGTGACAGTACAGCAGCTCGCTCATGATAAGATTGCAGGAAGCAGCATGGGCAAGCCCCATAAACTCTAAGAGTACAGCCACGCGACCTTCAACCTCGAGCTGCTAAAGTTATCCTTCAGGGAGCCCGAGCCCTGACCCCCGAACCCTGATGCGCAACTCTCAGGACTTGTTGACAAAGAGACCCCGAAAGATCCCTAAGCCCTGCACCAAGGGACGACCCCTCGGCGGCACCCTTTGAGGCAGTCCAGGCTGGGATGGCTGGGATTTGTGGGCTTCCGGGTCCCTTGAACCTGGCTCTCCGCGGGGTTTCTGGGGTGGTTTCAGGGTGGTTTCAGGGGCGAAAGGTTGGCGAATTTTGGCGTGACTGAGCTGCTTTTGGACTTCGGTAGAGTTTTTTGGCGAGGTTGCTCGCCCGCCGTTAACCTATTATGTGCGAGCCCAGAAGTCTGAAAGCGACGAACAGTTTAACATTTGGTGACCCCAGACGTTTGGAAGCGACGACAACGTCGCATTTGGTGAACACAGACGTCCGAGAGCGGCGACAGCGTCGCATTTGGCGAACACAGACGTCCAAAAGCGACGACAGTTTCGTCGTAGTTAATGAGCACCGGTGTCTAAACGCAGCGACAATTTTGGCATGTCGTGCGCACCGGTGTCCAAAAGCGATGTCAGTTGAGGCGAGAGTTCGGTTTTCGTCCAAGAAAACGAACGGGTTTCGAGAGAAACGCATGCTCCAGGCCGTGATCACCAGTCACGGGCGTCCTAAGTGTCGACACACAGACTGGGGAAGTTCATCAAGAGGTACTGCTAACACACGTGAAGCTGTGTCAAGGTGTTATTCCTGGAGTGCATCCTGCACCCTAAACCTTAAAAGACCCTAAACCCTACAAGCCCTATGAACAGCGTCCCGCTCAGCCCCCGGCAAAGGTCGCCGGCGGCATGTCTACCATGATGATGGGCGACGGGGGTGAAATGGAGGCCAGGGTTGTAGAGCTTTTCTAAGGGGGTTTATAGAGTTTTGGGTTGTGAGGAAGCGGTTTAGGGGGTTTTGGGGTTCAGAGGTTTGGGAGGCTTTCAGGGCGTAGCGGCTTTTTCGCGCTTTGGGGGCTTGTGGGCGAGGGGTTTCGGGCACCTGGAGCACTGTGACTGCGGTTGGTGTTGACAGAGTTTAGGGTTTAGGGTTTAGGGTTTAGGGTTCAGGGTTCAGGGTTCAGGGTTTAGGGTTTGAAGTCCAAGTCGGGGATCCAAGGTTTCGGCTGCTTCTTCGCCTGCTCTCGCCGCCCAATCAACGTGATGTAACATTTCCCGAAACCCCAGGGTTTAGGGTTTAGGGTTAGGGTTTAGGTTTTACGGTTGTGAAAGTTTAGGGTAGCAGTTCCCGAAACCCTGTGTCGCCTAAAACCTTCAACCCTAAGTCAAAAACCCGAGACATCCCGAGACCGAATCCTCGAGCTCTTGGCCGCGCATGTCCTGCCCCCTTGTGGCATAGGTGGAGACGAAGCCACCCTATAGCAACCCTAAACCTTCAGCAACCCTCAACCCTCAACCCTAAACCCTAAAGCCTAAAGCCTAGAGCCTAGAGCCTAGAGCCTAGAGCCTAGAGCCTAGAGCCTAGAGCCTAGAGCCTAAAGCCTGGCGCAGGTGGAGACGAAGCTCGGTGGTCTGTCGGATGTGCGGAAGTGGATCTTCAGCGACGAGACTCTGCTTCTGCAGGGGCCCACCATTGAGGCGCCGAATATCGGGCCTTAGGCCTTCATAATTGGAATAGGGTTTTGGGTACAGGCTTTGTCGGGTTTCGGGGGGTTTTGTTTTTTGAATGGGCTTGTCTTTTGTATGGCTCTCCTGGCTTGGAACGACATGGTTTTGAGGGGTTTTTTGGGGTTTTGAGGCACTCTACTGGAGGAGCCACCAACAGGCGGCACCCTCCACGGCATCGGTTTGCAGCTCCTCCAAGCGATTGGGGGGGGTCCCATTCATTGGGCGCGGGGGGGGGGTGGTGGGGGGAAGGAGGCCCGATCCAGGTCTGCTTGTTCCAGACGCTTCTCGGCAGGAAGCCGAGGCGAATAACCAGGATGGTGATTATAGTATAATTGTCAAGAGACCAAGGGAATATGATTCCGACCCCTATATTAGGCCTTGCCAACCCCCAGCCCGAAACTCCGAACCCTGCGGATACAGCCTCGGGCCGAGGTTTAGAGTTCAGGGTTTAGGGTTTAGGGTTTGGGGTTTAGGGATTAGGAGAATCGCAGGGTTGGGCGGATTCCTGAGCCCTGTAGGCATCACTCAAGCCCTACGTGGAGGAGATGTCGCCAGTCGGGTGGCCGAAGTCTGGGGTTGGGCTTGTTAATTTTGGCTGGACTTCTGTTGCTCTTCCTTGTGTCACTATTGTTCATGCATGTCAGGCATGGCGTAGGATTGAAGACTCGGGGCGCCCCGAAGACCCAGTTTCGGCTCGATGGCCGTTGACGCATGATGTAAGCAGAAACGCCAAGCAAGCACCGTGCTGGCTTGTGAGCATTGAAAGCGTCGTCCGCCTTTTAAGGCAGCTGAGCCTTTGTGAGTCACCCCGTGACACACTGCAAGAAGCCTGTTTAACTGTGTGCGAGAGCACCAACGTCAGCAATTGGCACCTACATGGCAGTTGCTGAACACTTTTGAACGCTTGATGGGGCTGCCCACCGCTGTCCCTTTCACAACCTACTGGCGAGGTCGCTGAAGCAAAGTATAAATGCGACACTTGCCGAAATGAGCAGTCGTGGGCAGCACGCTGAAAGCATTGATTCAACAGTAGGGCCCCAGAGCCGCGACAGCTGCGGATCTGATCTGGTTTTCCCGTACATTGCAGTGAACGGTCAAAAGGCGGCTTCGAATCATGTGTTCTTTTCTTTTATAACATAGAATGGGCGAGATCGGGGGCAGAACGCCTGTACGTTAATGGGGGTGTGATAATGTGATGGCGATAAAGAAGATGTGGAATTTCGTTTCACTCTTTGGGAGCAGAAGTCTCTTGCACCGATGATTTGGGAACCTTTGTTTTCTTTCAGCCCTTTTCGTCTTTCTGGGATGCCCTTTAGAATTGGGGGGGGGGGG